GTTTAAATAAAACGGTCATAGTCTCACCCGTGACCATGATTGCCGTAAAGCATTCGAAAAGTCAAACCAAAAATCAAAATAAATCCACGAAAAAATCCGAAAACACAGACCTAAAAACAATCAATGTACCATTAAATGCTTTATTAGTTAAAAAAATCACCAAAATCGATTTTTTACAATCGGCATTATATTATAAAAACCTACTCTAGTCTTGAAGTCGGTTGAAATTTTTTTGTGCCAATACATTCCTAAAAATAATATAACGATTCTATTAAAGATTTATTTAAAAAGTATAATTTTATGTTATGTCTTCATTAAGCTCAGTCAGTTTTTATTACCGTACCGTACTTGGCAGCATCATTCGTAATATGCGCTAAAACTTACTTCATAAGTTATGGACTACGATGCTTATTTCAATAGGCTCATGAAAGTTTGATTTTGTTCATAAAAATAATATTATGTTATAAGAATAATAAACTCTTTATTGTACCCCAAGAAAAAATTCAAAACAGGTAGATAATGTACAAGATGCGGCCTTATCGCTAAAACAGCGATCTCTTCCTAGCAACCTTTAGGTGTAGGAAATAGCAGGGAAGGTGTGCAAATAATAGAGTTAAATATATCACCATGTATAAAAAGTAGAATAATAAATATATATATATATATATATATATATATATATTTATATTTATTTATTTATTTATTTAAACTAATAGAATATCAAAATAGCTTCAGTCGTTTTGATGACAAGGTAGAATGCAGAAACTTTCACACACATTTATTACATAAATAATTAAGATTAATTTGGACAGTTGTGTAATACGAAAAATTGCTTTAAAAATAAAAGATAAATAATAATAAATAAATATGTTGGGACATTACCACACAGCACCATCTAGTTCCATGGTAAGCTACGAGACTTGTGTTATGGATACCAGTTAGTTCCATATGTCTGTGTCCAGAGGCACTACACATATATAACTTTAAATACATACATAATTTAAATATAAACATCCACAACTGGAGTACAAACATTCGTGCTCATCACACAAATGAATGCCCCCAGCGGGACTCGAACCCGCAACCGCTGGCACAGCGGCTATGTGAACTTGGCACCCGACTTTGGAAAAATTGTTCTTTTTTAGGTTTATTTGAACGATTTCGGTTAGTAGTAGATAGTAGTGAAGCTAACTTCGTTTGTAGTAGTGTCAAAAAAAAAAATACAGAACAAAAAAAATGTCATCCCCCGAAGTTGGTAAAAAAAATTTTTTCCGCTTGATTCGTATAGAAAAACGTTAGTAGTGGTTTGTAGTGCAATTTTTTTCGTTTGTAGTAAAGCAAAAAAAAAAAATTTTTTTCGAGTATTTTTCCAGAACGATTTTTACTACATACATTCATTGTTTCGTTTGTAGTACCATTATTTCATTTGTAGTAACGTTAATTTTGGTTTGTAGTACCATTACTTCGTTTGAAGTAACGTTAATTTCGTTTTTAGTAACGTTAATTTCGTTTGCAGTACCATTATTTCGTTTGTAGTACCATTACTTCGTTTGTAGCTGTTTGTAGTAATGTTAATTTCGTTTGTAGTACCATTATTTCGTTTGTAGTACCATTACTTCGTTTGTAGTACCATTGTTTCGTTTGTAGTTGTTTGTAGTAACGTTAATTTCGTTTGTAGTACCATTATTTCGTTTGTAGTTGTTTGTAGTAACGTTAATTTCGTTTGTAGTACCATTGTTTCGTTTGTAGTACCATTATTTCGTTTGTAGCTGTTTGTAGTAATGTTAATTTCGTTTGTAGTACCATTATTTCGTTTGTAGTTGTTTGTAGTAACGTTAATTTCGTTTGTAGTACCATTATTTCGTTTGTAGTTGTTTGTAGTAACGTTAATTTCGTTTGTAGTACCATTGTTTCGTTTGTAGTACCATTATTTCGTTTGTAGTTGTTTGTAGTAACGTTAATTTCGTTTGTAGTACCATTATTTCGTTTGTAGTACCATTACTTCGTTTGTAGCTGTTTGTAGTAATGTTAATTTCATTTGTAGTACCATTATTTCGTTTGTAGTTGTTTGTAGTAACGTTAATTTCGTTTGTAGTACCATTGTTTCGTTTGTAGTAACGTTAATTTCGTTTGTAGACCCATTATTTCGTTTGTAGTACCATTATTTCGTTTGTAGTACCATTACTTCGTTTGTAGCTGTTTGTAGTAATGTTAATTTCACTTGTAGTACCATTATTTCGTTTGTAGTACCATTACTTCGTTTGTAGTACCATTATTTCGTTTGTAGCTGTTTGTAGTAATGTTAATTTCGTTTGTAGTACCATTATTTCGTTTGTAGTTGTTTGTAGTAACGTTAATTTCGTTTGTAGTACCATTATTTCGTTTGTAGTTGTTTGTAGTAACGTTAATTTTGTTTGTAGTACCATTACTTCGTTTGTAGTTGTTTGTAGTAACGTTAATTTTACTACAAACGAAACAAAGGTACTACAAACAAAATTAACGTTACTACAAACAACTACAAACGAAATAATGGTACTACAAACGAAATATTGGTACTACAAACGAAACAATGGTACTACAAACGAAATTAACGTTACTACAAACGAAACTAAGGTACTACAAACAAAATTAACGTTACTACAAACAACTACAAACGAAATAATGGTACTACAAACGAAATCAAGGTTACTACAAACAACTACAAACGAAATAATGGTACTACAAACGAAATTAACGTTACTACAAACAACTACAAACGAAATAATGGTACTATAAACGAAATTAACGTTACTACAAACAACTACAAACGAAATAATGGTACTACAAACGAAATTAACGTTACTACAAACGAAACAAAGGTACTACAAACAAAATTAACGTTACTACAAACAACTACAAACGAAATAATGGTACTACAAACGAAATGAACGTTACTACAAACGAAACAATGGTACTACAAACAAAATTAACGTTACTACAAACAACTACAAACGAAATAATCGTACTACAAACGAAATTAACGTTACTACAAACAGCTACAATCGAAATGATGGTACTACAAACGAAATAATGGTACTACAAACGAAGTAATGGCACTACAAACGAAACAATGGTACTACAAACGTAACAATGGTACTACAAACGAAATTAACGTCACTACAAACGAAACAAAGGTACTACAAACAAAATTAACGTTACTACAAACAACTACAAACGAAATAATGGTACTACAAACGAAATAATGGTACTACAAACGAAATTAACGTTACTACAAACGAAACTAAGGTACTACAAACAAAATTAACGTTACTACAAACAACTACAAACGAAATAATGGTACTACAAACGAAATCAAGGTTACTACAAACAACTACAAACGAAATAATGGTACTACAAACGAAATTAACGTTACTACAAACGAAACAATGGTACTACAAACGAAATAATGGTACTACAAACGAAACAATGGTACTACAAACGTAACAATGGTACTACAAACGAAATTAACGTTACTACAAACAACTACAAACGAAATAATGGTACTACAAACGAATTAATGGTACTTCAAACGAAACAATGGTACTACAAACGAAATTAACGTTACTACAAACCATTACAAACAAAATAATGGTACTAGAAACTAAAGAATGGTACTACAAACAACTACAAACGAAATAATGGTACTACAAACGAAATTAAGGTTACTACAAACAACTACGAACAAAATAATGGTACTACAAACGAAATTTACGTTACTACAAACAGCTACAATCGAAATAATGGTACTACAAACGAAGTAATGGTACTACAAACGAAATTAACGTTACTTCAAACGAAGTAATGGTACTACAAACCAAAATTAACGTTACTACAAATGAAATAATGGTACTACAAACGAAACAATGAATGTATGTAGTAAAAATCGTTCTGGAAAAATACTCGAAAAAAAAATTTTTTTTTGCTTTACTACAAACGAAAAAAATTGCACTACAAACCACTACTAACGTTTTTCTATACGAATCAAGCGGAAAAAAATTTTTTTACCAACTTCGGGGGATGACATTTTTTTTGTTGTCTGTATTTTTTTTTTTGACACTACTACAAACGAAGTTAGCTTCACTACTATCTACTACTAACCGAAATCGTTCAAATAAACCTAAAAAAGAACAATTTTTCCAAAGTCGGGTGCCAAGTTCACATAGCCTGGCACAGCAAGTAGTATCACTCAAACTGTGGCTCAGTTGAACAATGTGTCGTTGAACGACATGATTTTTTTTCATCGACCAGAAAATCTAATTATAATATATTCATTTAGTCAAAAAACGTAGTTTGAAAACAAGAAAAATAACTAGGTGTGTCGTGTTAGGTCAAAATACAGTTATTTGTGAGTTACATGTAAATACCTGAGATGCAAGTTAAGCTCATCACCAATGCTGATCGTACCGTTATAACAAATTCCTTTACATTTGAATGTATAAGAAGTCACTAAAATATCACAAAGAGATAACCTGTGTTTTCTTTTGTCTTTGATATTTATAAACTTTTATGCTTAAATATACGCGCAATGTTCCTTTTCTTCAAAGCTCATGTAATACGGTATTGTAAGGAGAGCTTTTATTTAAGTACGCAACTCAAATGTACATGAAAATATTATTTTTATTGTAGAACTGTACTAAATTTGCTAAAATAAATTAGTCATATTATAGAACTTTAGTTTTACAAAAGTAAACACGTCCAGGTAAATTTCTAAGAAATATATTGTAACGCTGACGAGTCCGCGGTCGTAGAGGGACTAATAAATTGATTGATTTTAGAATTATTTTGAGTATTTGTTTAGTTTCTAAACCAGTTACCCTTACAACTTGTTAACCTCTAACATTAACACTCCCTTTAAATAAAACGTAAAATTTTAGTGAAAATAAAATTATAAGACTGAAAATGTGCTAAAGTAATAATAATACTGTATATTATGGTGTAACATAGAATAAGTGACAAATAACATGGAAGGTCACGAGTCCCGAAGTTCCAGAGCCAGCGACTCCCCCGGGGACACCATGAACGACGTTTACGCTGCATGGCGTAAGTTTTAGATTTCGTAAATAAATTATTCTGTTACAGATGAAGAAGTATAATAATTATAGTTATAGTATAAAATTACATTTAAATAACTTATTTAATGTGCGCTTATCAAAACTAACCAAAGGAGTCCTACATTAATTAATTAAATAGTTAATTAAAGTAAAAAAATACGAAGGATTTATTAGTAATCTTTAAGAGCTCTACATCTTCTAGCTCCATCATCAGGTCAGTTTTAAGATTTGAAATTATTCTATTATTCATTATACGGATAGCACTCAAATGATACGAATTATTTAAAGTAGATTTAAATGAACGTCTAGTTGGCTACTTTTTAACACGGCAAAATGTACGGTTCCCGTGGGATAGATTTGTTCCTCTATAGGTGAACCCAAGCGAAACGAGGGTAAGCCACAAATATTACATAATTAGTTACAAGTGACGTCAATAAAAGCGTGTTAATAACCACTTAACTCGTAAACTTTGAAATATATTCAAGAATTTTATTTCAACCATATTACCATTCTTACATACATAGGTAGACCTATGTACGAGTATGTAAGAATGGTAATATTTTCATATAAAAATGACACATATTTTCATTAGATGACCCCCTTTTGATACTTGGGACAGACATATTGGCTATATTAATATTTATCACGACCTGCATAATATGTCCGAGTGTTCTGTTTTAACACTTCGATACAAGCCAACCTACTTGGGGCCGTTGAATTAACGATATCACGTATTAATTAATTAATTACTTCATCTGTTAATGTGATCAATAACATCTCGCTTCGCTCGGGTTCGTTCCTAGCTTGATTCTCCATACAAACTTTCATCCCCATTTTCACCCCCTTAAATGATGATTTCCGGGATAAAAAGTATCCTATGTCCTTCCCAGGATCTCAAACTATCTTCTAATCAAATTTCATCTAAATCGGTTCAGTAGATCCAGAGACAACCCCCTACAACGTACAACCTCACAAACTCACAAACTTTACCTCTTTATAATATTAGTATAGATTATATCCAGTCAATAGCAACTATAAATAAACAAAGCAATGTCCGCGATATTGTTATGATAAAGGAGCATTTTCTAAGCCTAAAGTCAAAGAGGGGGCGCCATTATCGCGAAAAACGCGTTGACAGATTACAGGTGCCATCCCAATTATTCTTAGGCTATTGCGACATTACATGTATATATTTTTACATATACATGCATATTTCTTTATTTTCCGGAAAAGACAAAAATCTTGTAAGTTTATATAACTTAAATGTATTAATTTATATGTACAGCACTTAAATAGATAATTAAAAAACTATTGCAATAAACAGTTACATTCTAGAGGAAGTCATAAATTGTATAACATGTAGGTAAATAATACGGGCTCGTTCGTTTCAAACCTTCTAACTGTAAAACAGACATATCAAAAATTTCCATTTTCTTTGGAAGATTTAAGAAATTTTGTGAAATTAAGTAAAACTTAGTTTGTCCTAAGTTTAGATTAGTTTTGAATAAGTTACCTACTCTCAACTTTATTAACCTTATAATGTTTTTAGCAATATGAATTTATCTATTTGGTATTTATTGTAAAAAAACATTTTCTTTAATATAATTATCTAAGGTTTTACTAGTGAGGTATAGCGAATAGAGCGTACGTCCTTCACGAGTGGCTAGCCGAGTCTAGTGTCACATGTCTTGCAAAACATTAGTTAACATGAGTCGGTACACGCCTCGCAAGTCGCAACCTACTTGTTACCACTTTTAACTATCTCATGCTAAATTACAAGCTTTGTACCGTAAATACGTGATACTAACAGGATATAAATATTTTGTCTAACAACAAGTTGATTTGGTTTAACTCAATGGATTTCTTCAGTATTTTTTTCCTCAAAATTGGGGCTTAATGGTGGTAAAATATCTTTCGTTCAGAAAGTACACAAAAATTTTAAAATGTCAAATACATCTTGTAAGAGAATCATATTTCCCATTAATATATGTGTTTTTTTATATCAATAATAATTCCGTATATTTTTTAGAATTTGTATTCTTAGTCGTCTCTCCTAAATAGACTTAGCTATAACTTGACTTAGCGATGACAGAGTAGATATATGAGACGTTTACGATTCCTTTAAAAAAAATATTTAAATGATTAAATTAATTAACTATTACTAAATATTTAAATAATTGTTTGTCTTTATATTTCACAAACACCCTCTATAAATAGATTAATTAATTATTATTGTTTGCTATTTAATTAAGTAAAAAATATTAGTATATGGATATGTTTTAGAGCGTGATAAAGCATTACTTAGATCCGTTACAAAAGTGCGCAATACCTGTCAATATAATTTACATTTGTTGAAGTGAAACTTCTTTAGAATCGTTGTGATTTGAAACTCGATGCAACGGAAATGCGACAGTAAAAAGAGACAAACATATAAATATATAGGATTAAGCCGGCGATAGAATGAGATAGAATACATTGCGATGATGCCATGGTAACCGTTGTCATGGTAACCGTTGTTATTTGATAGAATACATTACAAAGGAAGTGAAAAATAATAATATTCATTACTGATTATTATGTAATGTTTATATTTATGTCAAATAAAATGTAAAATAACTTTTAAACTTGGTAAAAATAATATAAAAAATTCCTTATGATTATCCTACTCCTGATACTCTCATATCATTTTCTGAAGTTTCACTTCTACGATGTGTGAATTGCACATTTATTGATCCTTCGCTTTGCATCTTTGTGTGTTTTTTTGCATCTTTCGTTCCATCAGTTTAAAACTTACCTACGAGAAACGACTCGTACATTAGTTTGTTATTAGAATATACATAACTATTAAGTATTAGCATTTTGAAGTAAAACTTCTTTAGGCGTGACTAAGGGGTAAGTCAATACATTGGAGACAGGAGTAGCGCGGAAGTGAGTCTTAATAATTAAAAAAAATTATTGTATTTATATTAAAAAAAATGTATATTTATTATTAATATTAATAATTTTATAGTAATAATTACTTATAAAAATGAATGTTTATTACCTACTAATAATTTTATAAAAATTGTTATATTTATATTTTGATTTGTTTTAATTTAATTGAGGTTTTACTTCAACTGCGTGTAAAAATACGTTTATTTTTTTTCTTAAATGTAGAGAATCTAGAGACAAGTTAGAGTTAGAGTAAGCATTCACTCATTTTCGGTTATTGTCTATAGTGTACCTACTGGGGGTCTTACCCTTCGTTCGGATGCTTCCCTGTATACCTGACAGAGTAGACTGAGTTACTTATTAAATATACTAAATTTCTTAGTCTATCTGCATACTGAATTTTATCCAAATCCGTTAAGACGTTTTAGTAACAAACACACACACTTATGCATTTATAATACGAATATAATAACGTAAATAGCAGGTTGAATGTGATTATTTTAATAAAAACTAATTATTTCAAATGAGTCATTAGTATAGTTGGTAAGTTAACAAAACATTACAAAACGTTGAAAGCTATAATTATAAAAGCAGCCAACTGTATTGTCATTTGTCCATTGCATCAAACATTAATAATTGCATTGTTCACCGACAATAGCAGACAGGGACTGACTACGGTTTGTTCTACTGACCTCAAATATGTGCTGAATTGCGGAAAAAGTGCTAACTTCACACCGCACAAACCTCAGTAATTTTTCATAATATATGTACTAATATGTTATATATCAAAATAGCGTATAAGAAATTTTATGCAAAAAAACTGTTTGTAAATTATAGACGGACCCGTTTTAATTAATTATGATTAATAATGTAATTCTAATCGAATGCGATTGCGGCCAATCTCACTGAGTTAGCTAAACTGAGCACTAGCCAAGTGAGTAAAATATATTATCTATACATACACAGGTACATCTATACTTATCATATTCCGGTGGGAAATTCAATATGGGTAAGAGATAAGGCAGTGGACCTACAGCTTATAATGCTCTCAGAGACAGGAGGGTGGGTGATAACACTACCAATTTCCCAATCCCGGAGTTCTACGAAGTATTTCGTAACTAAAAACCCAAGTTACAGTTTTGGCCCAACCCGGAACTCAAACTTCTGCTCCGTACATTTGATGGACACAACACAGTCGGCGGACGTGGCAGTCAAAGTTTATAACTAACTGTCTTACTTGCTTCTTATAGTTTATAAATAAAACTTATAACGATTATTTATTATATATTTATTATATATAATATATTTCACAAACAAACTCACCATCCACATTTAAACAGGCAAATTCGTCGCTACTGTTATTTATAGGTTAGGTTTGCAATCTAACTCCTCTTGCATCACTTAAGAATTTGTTCCGGCATTATGTTTGAAATAAGCGTGAGAATTATGCTTTTCATACAAATATTAAGATATTCAATATAATTTGTATTATAACACAAAATATAAACGTGACTCAAATAGATATGTTAACAGATGTTAATGTTAAGACAAATATTTTCAAGGCTATAGTAATTTCCGTCATATGTTTTATTAAGGTTCTGTTCTCAAGTAAAAAAAAAAACAAATTCTTTATCTGTGCCTCGAAAGAAACACAGGGATAATACTCTTGTTCATCCTTGTATCAACCAAGATCACTTTTCAAAATTCTACGGATAAGGGCAGCGACGTCAACTTGAAACTATCACCAAAGAAACCATTTTAAGGGTTTAAGAAATAGATCAATGAAAAACCAAAGACTTTTATTGATCATTTAACATTTTTTGATTATAGATGTCACATGAAAAAAGGTGTCTAAGCTTAAATTTGATTACAAATTACACATCGTAAATGACACATGAACCGTATTGTAATGCCAACACTTTGTAACATATTCTCATATATATAATGAGATTGAGATTTGATTTGATTGAGAATCCCAATCTAATGGAGTGGGTGTATTTTATATTTACTTGAGATGACTGCATATTTGAAATGCCTGGAAAATTATTATCTGAAGACTATCAACTGTGACCTTACATAGCTAAAGTAAGCTCAAACAAGGCTAACACTATATTCAATACTATCAATTCATACATATTCATTATTTGTGTACTTTATACGCTTAAGTTGAATCTTTACGTCATATTTGCTTTTAAGTGGATCAAATAATACAATATAGAAAACTACTTTGACAAATATAAATATTTTTCGACATAATATAGTCTTATTATTAAAAGGCTTTTAATTAAAATTATAGCAAGTGAATCCGATAATTATAAATTATAGTATTCAAAACGATTAAAACCAAGTGAACATTTGTATTTTTAGACGAGCATCTCTAACAGTATACTAATATCCCGTGGGGATCACATTTAGGGTATTGAGATAAAAAGTCTACTCAGAACCGTTACTCTGTCGCGAGCATACAATTCGACATACATAGATAAAGATTATAATGAAAACTTATTTACAATTTAAATGAGATGTTAAGCAAATTGCTAAGAAACTTAGAAGATATAACGTGCGAGTACAATTGAAGAGATATGATGATGGTTGATTCGTTAAACAAGATTGTTATTTAATTTAAATTAGGTACATATAAAAAAAGAAAAGAATTATCACTTACTAGCAAGAGCAACTCACCCTCGTTCCGCTCGGGTTTGTACCTAGTTACATTTTAACGTTTAGCGTAGATTTCTCAGAAACGAGATATTTTCCTGCAGTAAGAAATCTCCTATATGTTGACCCGGATAACCGGCTATCATCATACCCAATTTCATCAAAATTTGTCCAGTGGTTTTCTTGTGATGCGTTCCCAGACAGACAGACAGAAGAATTCTAAAAACTATAGATTCGGCCTCTGTATCGACAACAATGACTATTTCAAAAAAAATATCTAAAAAATAATTAATGGACAGATTCGGCTAATTTTGTATTTTATTAATATGTATAGTTATAGAGATTAAAATAAACGTTTGTTCACATTTAAGTCCTATAAAATCGTGTGATTGATTTGACTGCGTGTTGGTATTAATAATTATAGAGATTAATACATAATATAAAAAACTATTTACATAAATTGTATGTTTAGTTCATTATAAAACTTGGTTCTTCTTATTGTTTCCAGATGAAATGCTAGAGAGCGAGGGGGCAGGTCTAGCGGCGCGAGTTGCAGAGCTAGAGGTGCGATGTTCAAGGCAGGCTGAGGAATTATTGTGCCTGCGTTCCACTCTCGCTGATGCTTTACGAAGACTGAATGCGTTAGAGGGAAGAGCCCCCCCGTCGACCGGCAACACACAGAGAAATGGGGCTTATGCTGGTATGTTAAAATAATATCTACATATATAGTACTTGATAAACTATCTATCTGTCGTTTCCCTTCCTAGCGATAGGAATTATAGAGCTAATTTACTTTTAAAACGATTAAGGTAAAGACGGAACACTTATAATTTTGTCATGTCCATCTGACCGTAAATTATAACCATTAATTTATTTAGAGCTTATTTATACATATGGCTGAATTTTTAGAGGTAACTTATGTAAACCCCTAGAACTTCTAGAAGAAGAATTTTGTATACAAAGTACGTTAAAAAGATCGAATTAAATGTACATAAGCTTGTGAAATATCTTTGGATACGTGGATGATGTAAACGACTTTTATTTAAGCTAATCGTTACTGAGTTATGTATTATGTTACATAGGCTTCCAGAGTCGTAACTAAGAAACAGATTTTCGCATTTATTCTACAAGTGAGAATGCTTATATAATTTTAAAAGAAACCTATCTTACCGGATTTAACCGCGTATTTCTTTTAATTTTTGGTTTCTGACGTTTCTCCCGTCTCCCTCCAGATCTTTCCCGAAGTCTCTCCCATGACCAGGATTGCTGTAAACTGTAAAGCATTCGAAACGTCGGAAACTAAAAATCAAAATAAATACGAAAAGATAGTATTATTTTAAATGTAGCCACTTACCCTCGCTCCGCTCGGGTTCGGTCTCTACTCATGTTTTAACGTTTAGTATAGATTTCTCAGAAATGAGATATTTTCCCGCAGTAAAAAGTATACTATATGTTGACTCGGATAACCAGCTATCATCGTGCCAAATTTTATCAAAATCCGTCCAATGGCTTTTCCGTGACGCGGTTACAGTCAGACAGACAAAATTTCTAAAACCTATAAATTCAGCCTCTGTATCGATAATAGTTTCTATTTCAATAAGATTTTCCAAAAAATATTTAATGTAGAGATTCGACTTAGATACAATTTTATTCTTATAAATATTCGCGTAAATCTAAGAAAGTATTATTTATATCATAATTTTTATTATTTTTCAGGAACCTCAGGCACGCCGACCCGCGAGCTGCGCATCAGGCAACCTTCCTACAGGGAATCTGTGAAACGTACATCGAGCTACGGCTCTACCGCTTCTTCACTATCACAAAGGTACTTGTATCTCAGACTGAGAAATAATATAGACAGAGTGTCATAGAAGAAAACATGACGGCAAACAATAAGAATTTAAAATAATATTTATAATGTTTTAAAACGGTATATAAATTCATAATAATAAAATATTCATTGCTGTTTGTTATAAGTGAATAAATATTACATGTCGCAAATGAGTCTTGGCTGTAAAGAAGTGCCTTATTTGTAAAATATGTTTATTTGATGATCTCACGCCAAAAAATACCTAAAGAATGAAATAAGTATCATGATTATTAAAAATAGTTTCGTTAAATTCGTCACATCTTAATTTCATCAATCCCAATCCGAAATTTTAGTTCTGAACTTATCTAGAAATGGCGCCGTCTATGAATATTGTAGGAGAAAGAAAACAAATTATAACATTATGAAAACATTTTATTCGCGAACACAAATTGCTACCGGTTATATTTTATTAAAGTATATTTTTGACTATAAAAAAGTAAAACTCAATTGTAGAATTCATTAAATTTTACCAAGGCAATTAGAAAACTGATTTTCACAATTCTTTTTTTCGTTAACAGGTGATTATATATATATATATATAGCTTAAGGTATTTTAAAGGACATTTTCAGTTATAATTATTTATGTTTCGTTTCCAGGCGAGGCCCGCAACACCAATCAACAGGTTCTCTCCAATCGGACTCACCGGCCTCCTCCTCGTCTCTATCACCGGCGCCCTCTCCCTCCCCGCGCGCTACCCCCGCGCCCTCACACATACAGCCGTACAGGTATACATGGTTGACTAGCATATACTGCAGAACCTGGTCCTGGGTTCGAATCCTGAGTCGGACCAAGTTTCTGTCAAGAATTCTTAGGAACGGCCTGGTTGGGAAGTTGACAGTGCTTTACCCCCATGTCGAAACAGATGGGAACAGGTGTAGTGCATTCTGCATGTTGTGTCTGCGTCAGATGGCTACTCTCATTGAGATTAGCCGCTGTAGTAGCTAAAAAGTAAAATTTTATTTGTTTTATTTATTTATCAAATACAAAAAATATTTAAATATACGGAATATAGTGCTCGCTGAAAGGAAAAAGAAAAATATGATGAAAACCTTAACATTAAATTTCTCTTGACCTTTATATGATAACTATGTACTGGAAATAGTAAGTTTTAAAGTAAATAATTCAGAGATATTATGTAAAAAAACTTCGGGGCATAGGACGTCCGGTCCATTAATTAGGCGAGTTTTTTTTTATTTGAACCCCTTCTAAGCAAGACATGGACAATTTATATTCAGTTTACGTAATTAATGAATGCTACCTTCCTAAGAAAACAATACTAAATTATTACTATTTTCTCGACTCCTAACTTCGAACAAAAACCTTTTCATTTATACATACCTACACATTCTTTTTTTTTAACATTTTCTTTTCTTTAGATAAAAATAAAAAATATAATTTAATAAATAATAATAATATAAATAAATTTGTTGGAACAATAACACACAGTTCGCCATGTAGTTACAAGTTAAATTAAGTTAAATTCTAAGTTATGAGGCGTATATACCGGATAGTTGATACCCTACACATAATATATATACATATAGCTTTAAATACATACATATTATATATATTTAATGATTATATATAAACACCGATACCTGGAGTACAAATATTGTGCTCATACCACAAATGAATGCCCCCAGCGGGATTCGAACTCGCGACCGCGAGCACAGCAAGTAGAGTTACTGCAAACTGAGCCAAACATGTCGTCGAAAAATTTGCATTCTTACTTTTGTATAACATTTGTTACGGCAACCATCTCGATTCTGTAATGATGATTGCCGGATGTACGCTCTGTGGACGTTGCGTATATACTCATAGTAATGGCTGTAAAATTACACTGTTGCAAAGTTGAGTATATAGAGGGTGAATTTCCAAGGGTGTGAATGATGAAATTCGCAACTATCTGAAATAGCCAAAAGGATTTTAGATGGAAATCTAATTTAATTGTTTTTAAATAATATAGAACACTCGGTTTTGCTTGGGGTTTAATGTAAAAGAAAGATGTGTCGAACGAAAAATACGATGAGTAGAGTTTCTACATTATTACTTATTTATTTTTAAAAAAAATTGTTATCGAATACTTCATACGGAATAAACCTAAAAAATGTTTTAATTTGCGTTTTACCTGTTTGTTTGTAAATAGTTGCTGTATCATAGTTATCTGTTAGTTACAATTTAACTAAGGATTACATTCGTATTTCGTAACCGGTTGTCAAAATTATCGTTATAACTGCCGCGAGCGAAACAATACACAATATGGAAAGAACCTAAATATATAAGCGGGATCAAAGTTCCAACAAAAACAAAGTTCAGTTAGGATCGTTACACCAAAAAAATGGTTTATATACATTTTGCATACTTTTCAACTCCACTCTTATTTGGGCTATTAGAAAGAGTTTTCAATATTTTATTAATAAGTTATTATTAATAGTAGACTATATTATAGACTGTAGTTTATGTGCTTTTAGTAAAGTAATTATTAACTGCGTCGATGATCTATTGGCTAGCATGTACGGCCGCAGATCTGTAGATCCTGGATTCGAGTCCTGGATCGAGCTAGGTTGAGTTATTGAATATTTCTGTCAAGAAATTCTCAGTAATAGCTCGGAGTTGGAAAGTTAGTGGTTTTTCACCCCCGTGCATCGGAGAGCACGTAAAGCCTTCGGTCCTGCGCCTTAACTCTTACTGGTCATGTCATGTAGTCGTCCCACCGGAGTGTGAGAGTAACAGGAACAGCATATTTGTGCACTGTGGAAGAAATCGATCAGGACAATTAATTTAATGTAGGTTTTGAAGTAGTTCCTTTCATGTATATGAAAAGAAGTAGATACCACTTAATTTAGTAATACATCCACCAGATATCATTAAGATTTTATCAACTCATGTGTGACTTATGTAACTGCATTCTTTGTAATCTAGAATATTATAATTTGTTTTTTCGTAGAATAAAGTTATAATACATAAAAAATTACATTAAAATACGGATTTACGTTAAATATTAAATGTAAAACAATGTTAGGCGTAATATGTTCTGCTTAAGTTCTAAATGAATCTGATATAAGTACTTCTACGTAGTATATGGTTTAAAAAAGTCATATTAATGACATAGAAGCGTACAAGTAGAGCAAAATTTATTTCTCAAAATTAAATAATACCATTGTGGTTGTACTGAATAACCACGTATTATTCTCGTTTTTATGACTTTATTCTACGTTTGCAGAGTATTTCATTTATTCTACATACTTTCTACATTAGTAGAGTATTTTAAATATTTTAGTGTATGCTTAGCTAGTAGTGAATGTGTAGATCGCGTAATAACTCGACGTCCGGCAACCAGAGCCCGGCCGCGAACAGCCTCACCAAGCGGTGGAGCTCCACAGGGGACTTCAATACACAGGGCCTGCTGCCTAACACTAGGTAAGATTAGTTTCTATGTAGTTTGTACTTAGTTTAAATATTTTTTTTAAATAATTGTTTTTTTTTATGTATAATAATTGATGGTCAGTACATTGTATTTTAATGGCCAAAGATATTGTTAATGCTTACAAAGTTTTAAGCTGCATCTATTTAAGAGTATTGGTAACTTTAGTACATTTTAGTGCCAACAATTGCTTAGTAAAGTAAAAAAAAAACAACGTCCAAATTTTTTTAACACTGGGGACGTACCAAAAAAATTTGATTCTAATAGAAATTTTTACATATTTTTTTCTTTAAAACTTTTATTTCTTTAGTCGAATATAGGTAAATATATTAAGTTATAATTTATATTTATATATAGTTGTTAAGCAATATTTCCATTTGTATAGGACGCGTGACTATTGAAAGAAAAACAGCAAGGAAAATATGTTAAGAAAATTATCATAGTTCTTAGAATTACATGTCATGTACAGTTTATTTTACTTTTGTATTAAGAAATATAAAAATTGTTGAAGAAATGATTAGATACTAGATACTAATATATTTTCAGAATATGCAAAAAATATATTTTTTAATTGTCTATACACACTATTCACGAACATACAAGATTAGTAATATTCTGTCAAATTTCATTGTTTTATTCATTTCTTTAGGTTTACTACCACCAAGTCGTTGCTAAATTTGTATTCTAAACAAACATCGCAAAACGGATCTATCTTGAAACATGGGTAAGTTCAATCAGATTCAGCCAATAAGACTAGTTGACTAATCTACAGTCGATATCGCTAATAGAAAACTAAAAATACATGGGAATGACATATTCGGACCACCTGACATAATGTATATCGCTATTTTATTTCCACATAGTAGACAATCAGAAATAAAGTTGTCATTTTAGATATGTAGGTATAAATTACATTAAACATAATGAATAAATAAAGAATTATATATAGACGATTGGCTTGATGAGATAAAAAAAGGCAAATTTAATTTCTTAATAATTTGTACCAAGAATCAAAGCCTTTTTAAATTATTTAAATGTCTGAAACAAGTTTGTCTAACAATCAGAGTATTTAGTCTTTAGCAAAAAGTACACTTTAATGTTTTAAGACATTTTTAAATCAAAAATGGAATTTGTTTCATCTAACCCTAATACATTTTCAAGAGTTCTTAGATTTCTATTAGCGATTGCAATTGTAGAATGTTATCTAGTTTAAGGGCTCGGTGGTGGCATTGTGTTGTTATATGGGTCTAACTTATTATGGGCATGGTGTTTGGGATTTGGTTCTTGGTCTATTCTTAAAATCCACTAACATTAATCTTTAAATAAAAAATGAATTTCTATCTTTCGCTATAAATCGTTATTGCAGTCGGAGGCATTATTTTAATTACTAATTTAATTTTCAATTGTTTATTTCTTGTTACCTTTGCCTGCATAATGTATTTTTATTTAATCCTCAACGACTATACATTCTATGAGATTTTATCGACCGATTGAAATGAAATTAAGATTTGTTTTCGATTAAGACATATTATCTATACAACAAAAAAGTCTTATCAAATTCTATTTATATTTTTATATTACTTTCTGAGATTTACGCGAATATTTGACTTTATTAATAAAATTATCTTTTCTGATGTTTTCGCGGATTTATTTTTGAAAAAAAAAACCCAGAAAAGTACATTTTATTTAAAATCTATTTAGTCACGAACGTCTAAAAACTACCGTCGTACTTGATTAAAACTGAACAACTCTTTTTATTATGCCTAAACATATTTTTTTATTATATTCAATATTTTGAGCAATTTTATAGCTGATATGTTGAGATTTGTTAAAAATTAGATATTTAAACATTTTAATATTGCTCATTGTACCAAGGAACACAAAGTCCTGTAAAGTATTTCAAACCTACGCTAACAATTGTGAAGATAAAGTTGAATGGACAATAACACTTAGCAACTGCCACAATATATGATAATTTATAGCCAGACACCCACGAGGTGTATCATACCGTTCAGTAATACCGACCAATACATAGATAAAGTTTATAATATCTTAATTATTAAAAGCAAGTTCTTCTAATCGTAATCGTTAAAAACGTAAAACCGGATATCGGGAAATCTATTAAATTCACCGGCTCTTATAAAATCATCAAGCGTATATACGTGCAAGGTACCGATTGGGTCATTTAGCCGATCTCAAAAAAAGACTCAATTCCCGTGTCGTCCAATTTTTTCTTAATTAAGTGTTTTCATTACTTTTAAGATGATTTTAAATAACCGTAAAGAATTTTACTTGGTGATATTTTTTAAGGAATATGTTTGTTTAGAAATATATAATTGATTTGCGTATACATATAACTAATTGCTGTAAACAGCTTTGGCGGACAGAAACAGCTGTACTCGCCTACGCCACAGTTCATTCATAGTTACCGATACTTATGGTGTCATCTTGTGATTTGCAACCGGAGTTCGCGGATATCTCAACATAAGCTTATGTACAAACTACAAAGTATATATGAATTCTAATATTATCTCTATATAAAAGCGAAATAGCACTCACTAATTAATCCCGAAATCTAAATAAGTATAAAAAAAACTTATTTGGCAAGTAGATCCCTCATGGGAGCAGGTATCCTCTAAGAAAATATTTTTGGAAATAAAATCCTAAAGAAAGTTAAAAAATGGGTTAGAAGTTTGTACGGAAATATGTGATTTTTAAATAATTCTCTTTCTGATTAAAAATGACCAAAATTGGAAATAATTTTTCTAATAGGAAGTCCTACAAAGATGCTCGACCGCGTCGATTGTCCATCATAGCTCAGGTCAAACCACTGGACTGAACCTGACTGGACCTAGTGAGACCAAATTTTTATAGCATATATATTATCTTTAACCAACGACTTAACCTCGCTTCGCTCAGGTTTTTTGCCCGTAGCCGGAAAAGGAATTCAATGGGCATTTTTCCAACTTTAATTAAACTAATTATGATTTCTGATAGTAAAAATCGGCTCAACGGTAATGTAGCTTCCTTTTTTAGTTTATAAATTACCCCCATACCATGATGATAAAAAATAGTCAGGCAAAACCAGGGCAGACCCCATATGTTAAATAATGGTATAGGTACATTTTTAAGATTTACAGAATAAAACGTTATATTATTAATTAAGTTAATTAACATAATATTCGTATAATAACACTATTTGTATGTTATGTTAGTAATACCTACATATATTATGTACATATACACCGTGGTCCAAAATAATGTTGACAAAATAAAAAAAAAATATATTAAAAATGGAATGCCTTGCGTTCTCTTTTGTTTTTGTTTATTCTTTCTTCATTCTTTGGCGCCATTTTAATATTGTTTGTTGGCTAAAAAGTTTTAAAATATATTTATTACGTTATGTAAGAGCAGCGATGAGCCATAATTTCATTGTATGAGCGTGGAAAACGGCATTGTGAGATAGTAAACATTCTTGGTGTTAGTCGTCAGCTAGTTTCTTCAGCAATTAAATGCTATGTTGAGCTCGGCAACATTGGAGACCGTCCTGGGAGAGGACGCAAGCGGACTGTTCGAACTGCTAGGTACCAACACATTATCAAACAAAGATTAGTCCGAAATCCACATACCAAGGTGAGAAAAATGTCGCGAGACTTGGGGATAAGTTGCTCCACCGTGCAGCGTATAGCGAAATATGATCTCCAATTGATACCATACAAACTCAGAAAAGCGCAATTGCTTATAGAGAAAGACAAAAAAGTTCGCCTTGAGAGATGTCGTTTGCTTAAACAACGCTCCGCTGCTTCGAATTGGAAAAATATCGTATTCTCCGACGAAAAATTGTTTTTGATAGATCAAGCCCATAATCACCAAAATGACAGGATCTGGTCTTCCACTTGTCCTGGAGCTGCCGCAGTCATTCCACGTCGCCAAAACGCAAAATCAATTATGGTTTGGGGTGCAATTTGCGCTACTGGCAAAACTCCCCTCGTTTTTGTAGAAAATAGTATAAAAATTAACCAAGAAAATTACCGACGAGACATCCTTGAATCTGTGCTTATTCCTTGGAGTCAACAGCACTTTGGTAACCATTCATGGATATTTCAACAAGACTTTGCTCCAGCTCACAGAGCTTTAAGTGTTCAACAGTGGTGCCAAAGCAATTTCCCTGATTTCATCTGCTCAAAAGAATGGCCACCCTACTCGCCTGATCTGAATCCAATGGATTACAGTTTAAGTTCAATATTAGAGGCAAGGACCTATTCTACGCCTTATAGAACTGTTGATGACCTGAAGGCTACTCTTACACGGGAGTGGGACAAGATATCTGTTGAGGAAGTGCGGAAAATTGTGGAAAATTTTACCAAGCGTTTGACTCTATGCATTCGCGCTAAAGGAGGTTATTTTAATGACAAATAGGTATTCTTGTAAAAAATAAGTTGTATTTTTATAATTTATAGCATAATTTCATTTAAGTTTAAAGTTAATAAAATTATTTGAAAAATCACTTGTCAACGTTATTTTGGGCCATCTTTACTTAATGTAGATGCTATTTCAAAATAATAACGAACTTGCCTTTGTTGTTGTAATTTTAGATTAAAAAGTTTTTAACAGTTCTTACTTTCTAATAATATAATTTTAATTTTTCGTATTTATCTTCATTAAACTGCCAAAAATTGAACTAAATGCTTTTAATTTTTCACTAATGACTGGCTTGTACGCGTGCCTTAATTATTTATGCGTCCTTCAGTAATGTACTTATGTAATATCACGAAACCAACCACCATATCGGTATAACAGTCATAGGTACTATACGGCTCATGAAGTAAAAAAATATGTTAATTCGTTATTTTACTATCATAAATAAAAAATAGACCAAAACACACTGTGGTAATTATGTTAGCCAGAATAGTTTAGTAGGATTGATTTTTTTCAGTATATACTCGTATATTGGGCATTTAACAAATTTTTTTTTTATATATATTCAGTTTTCTGTAAGCTAACATAATATGTATATAATTTATTTATTAAACTTCTAAATAATGGTAAATTCCAACAAAAAACCTATTGTGTTTCTAATTTACCAAATTGGTGCAATCAGTCTGGCGTGACGGTCAACGCTAATGGATTTACAAACACCGTGCTAGTGACTCGTCTTTACTCGCATTTAGTGAAATTATTTAGTTTTGAAATAAAATATACATCATTAAAACATACAAAAGCGAAGTCGATACCTTTTAAAGTAAAAGCATAAGTTAACGCTAACGGGCATTTTTCAGTTTATATGTTTAAAAATATTTTTTTTTTTATATTAAATTTTATGAATATGTTTTGCATGGATCTAAGATCTACAGGATAACATAGTGCTATTTCGACATCATGACACTTGCCCAAAGAACTTTTCCTTTTATTGATACATTCTATAGACAAACGAAATATATTACCTTATTTTAACTATTTAATTTACCTATATTAGTAGATTTGTCACAGCCATTGAGTCATTGACTTTGACCACTCCCACGTCCCACTCAAAATAATGTCTCTGAAACATTATTTTTCCTTACATTTAGTAAACGTCAGAACATAAACAGACAGTGAAGCGAATACTTTGTATTAAGACAACAAAAGAATTTGTTTACATCGGTATCTTGACCTATACATTGCGTATTATATTTAGAGGTGTATTATTATGTTACATGTATATGAGGTAATAAACAACGCGCAGTTTTAATGTACCTACTTTAATATCATGTCACGGTCAAGCCCACTATATACGAGCAGTCTGCGAATGCGCTTCTCAGCAGCCGGCTGTAAGAATCGAGTCAGTGCCTTTTAAACCGGTCCAAATAAGAGTCGCTTCCAGTGTCTTTTTTGGTAAATAAAAAAAAATACTGTCACTAATGGACGACAGGTAATTATTACTAATTATAATTGACGTCAATTTTACCGCCTGAAAATTATAGTTAATTATTTCTAACGATTATTTTTTTTATTTATTTTAGATTATTATTTGTATAACATTTTGAATATATTCTTCGCGCTTTGGAATATATAGCTGATATCGTCGCCATGTCGTTCACCCCGATGTAAGTTGCTTGGGTATTTTAACATGTATTCGTATTCCTGTAAGTTGGCTGTGTTCATATATAATATGTACTCATACGTATAAGATTACGAGTTTTTATCTGATATTGAGTTGAATCATAGGTTTTTATTGCTCCGTTCACTTGTGCTATTTTATAAATGCTTCCTGAGGACGTTAAGTGGATCTTAATCATCTATAATCAAGAAATACCTACTATAATAATAAAGCAACTAAACTAGTTCTCAGTTCTTAAATTACTATAATTAACATTACAAATATTTATTTATTAGTTAATTAAGTATCTTAACTAAATTAACTAAGCAAAATAACTTAATGAAAAATAAAGTTTTTTTTACTTTAATGATATTAAGTTTTCTTTTGTTCAAATAAATATAATATTTTCTTTTGTCCAAATTATAAACACTATGTTAAAGCCATGATCAGTTTGTTGCGTGTTAAAATTGCAACTTACTACACGCAATACTTTAATATGTCATCGATAATTATTATTTGTAGAGCAAATGAATAGCATATAAGTTCTTTTATAACTTATTCTTAATAAATACCTTTTTGAATGAAATTTGAATGACCTTTAATGTAAAGAACTGGGTACCTCACATAAATTTTAATAAAAATATCCATCCATATGCATGAAATTATATCTAAGGTATAATTTAGGTACTTAAAAAAACATTTTTAAATACATAAGCTAACAGTACAAATACAGTTATTATGTAGTCTGTATGTACTTATCACCTACTTTCTATTTTATAATATTTGGAGATTGGGAAAACTATAGGTAATATAATTTTTTTCTAACACACTAATGCTTTAATACTTTAACTAATACAAATTCGATATAGTCATAAAATAAAATTAATTAAAATATATTGTACAAAAATATTGAATGTTTAATCAAATAATAATAAAATAAAAAATAATAAAAGGTAATTCCTTCTAGCACGCACACCTGTCAGTACAACGAAGAGGATGGCTCCATGAGGATGTTCATCCGGGGCCGCCCCGTGATCATGTACGCGCCTAGCGACCACGACGGCTTTGATCCTGCAAAGGTAGCCCCTCCACCGCAGAATAAACTCAAGTTAGAGTGGGTGTATGGGTATAGGTAAGTTTAAATTGTGTATTTTTTTATCTCCGCGTATAGAAAGGTCTGACGGTTGGAAATTACGAACCGTCATACTTTATAAGGTTTATGTTAATAATTTTCATGATAAACATTTTTTTTTGGTTCCCAATAGCAGGATCTGCGACAGTTTGCGCGTTAAAATTAATTGTTTTCTCGTATAAATATATGATATTCTTAATTATCGAGGGTTCAAATCCCGAATCTCGCACATTCGGATATACTCAATGTGCGAATCATTTCCAACTTGATTACCACTCGGTCGGTTACCACAGTGAAGGAGAATATCGTGAGTAAACCTGCATGTCTTAGAAAACCTAGGAAATTTTCGAAAGACATGTAAAGTCCCGTAACCCGCACTTGGCCAGCGTGGTGAACTGAGTCCTGATGCCTCTCGTAATAGGTCTCCTATATATGCCCAGCAATAAAATACTAATTAAGTATACAATATTTAATTTTTATGAATAACTCATCCAATATTCTCTGTAGAGTAATCGTTACATCAAAATATAATTTCTCGCCCTTATTATGATGAAGAAATCACTCCTGAGATAAAACTACTGTTTGCTGTCAGAACTCAAGCTATCTCTATTTGTTTATTTTACTAGCGTTTTCCTGCGGCTCCGCCCCCATAGCATTAATCACCAACATACCATATACTAAAACCTTCTCCGAAACAGGCTGCATCTAATGGTATGAGTATTATTCCGATCGGTTCAGTAGTTATCGCAGTATAACCGAACAAAAAAATCGGCTCTCCATTTATTAGTATATATAGATTTTATTTATTAGATTCATCGGTCTAATTACAATTTATTATAATATACGAGTCCAATGGTATTTAGATATAGCTAAATGCATTATCTTTTAAAGTGGATAGTGAATACCACATGCAAATGTGGAGATTTTATAAAATATTTACATTATTTCTATATATAAATAAATTAGTATTATAATAGCCATATAAATATGTTCAGGTATTTACACGTATAAAAGTCAAATAAATACATACATACATATATGTAGGTATATAGCTACTAAATTATTATTACATAAAGAATACGTAATCATAAGTATTAAAAACCTGGTTCATAAAAAAAAATATATTTAGCTGTTTGTATATTCCTTATCAGATGATCTCAGGTTTATGGCGTATCTTACTTATTGAATTAGTCAAGTTGTATTTTTATTACTTGACCCAAAGTGGCAAAGTCGATAAAATAACTACCAATTCCATTAAAAATTTAAGGTAACCACCATCAGAAAACTTTTTTATCAGTATATATTTATCAAAATATAGTACATACACTACATATGTACATATATTACATTAATTATTTTTTATCGATTCATTTATTATTAGATATCATGGCAAGGTCGGCACTCGGCACGCCTAACTATAAACGTAACAAATATTTTTTTCATGGCGTAAAATGTGACCCGTATGCGGTTACGTACAAAGATGGACGAATAGAATAATTTTCTAAGGTTCATTATATATTTTTGTTGAAGTTTTCAACAGACAAATTAAAGATAACTAATGTAAAAAGAAAATTGAAAACAAGTTACCTATCTAAATTTTAATTTGTGAGTTGTATAGGTTAGAAACAAACATCTATGCCTAACTACGTTTAATGACCCGATCTTGATTTAGGCATGATGAGATTATTGAATCTATTTGTACATAACTTAGATTACTTCATTGTTTAAATGATTGTGTTGATCCAGCTCGTTTAACGTGATGCACAGATAAATAAACACACATGAAAACTTCTTAGTTGGTAGGCCTTAGATTTACGCGAATATTTGATATTTTGAATAAAACTATGTTTTCAGATTATTTCGCGGATTTATTTTAATTTTTGGTTCCCGGCGTGTCGAATGCTTTACAGCAATCTTGGTCACGGGAGAGAAACACACAAATGCAAAATTTGAAGACTCGAACTTTCCCATTTAATAGAGAGCTAATAAATTACTCATTTTGAAGCCTCAAGTTTATTAATTAATTGCTACATGCAATTAAAACTAAAAGCTAAAATTAGCTAGGGGAATTAGATAAAGCTATTTCATTTACTAATATAGTAGTTACTGTTTTACACATATTAAAAATACTAATTCTGAACACCCTACATATAGAACTGCTTCAAACTCAGCAGTTTAAACCAATTGTTAGCCAATTTTCCAATTGTTTTTCAGAATTTACAAGCGACAATTACAGCCCACTCCTACCAATTATGGTGTCGTCCGAAAATTCCATATTCTTTTAAAGTAATGTATGTCTAATGTTTTGTATTGACTCTGTAACTTTAGTATGGCTCAATTCTTTGATCTAGATTATTGTAGCTATTTTTAACCGACTTCCTAAAAGGAGGAAGTTCTCAATTTGTCGGAATCTTTTTTTAGATGATGATCAAATCAAAATTAACTTTATCCAAGTAGACTTTTACAAGCACTTATCAATCGTTAATTCAAAAGAGAATCAATGAATGTAGATTTTTTGTGAGGAACGTACCTCTGGCTTGGATTGCAGTTCAACAGTTGCTCATTTAAATGTGAACTTTGTGTTTACACTTTTTAACACAGCCCTAATAGAAGAATTTCATGTAAATTTTAATCAAACGCTCTATTAGCTATTCCCGTTAAAATAATTTTGCAGATTTGAAGTAACAAACAGGCAGGCAAACTTTTTTAGGTTCTCCGTTACTCCGTGATCACAGTTTATCAACACCATGGATACGTTTTATATAGATATTTATTAAATATTGTGAAAACCTTATTGAAATTACAATCTCTGTAAAATCTTCTATTAAGTAAACCACAACAAAACTACATAAACAATACAAAATGAATCACAAAAACAACTGAACTATAACACGCTCCCTCTAATTTCTATCGTTCACGTATTTCAAGGTCGTAGCGAGTTCCGCTTGAGTGGCCAACTGTATAGCTCAGATAACGAGATGTGGGTCAATCTGGGTGTGAATTGTAATGAAAGGAAACACGCCTTTAGTCACAAAGGACTGGAAGCGAGCTATTTTTGTACAGTTTGTTTACTAAATAAATAAATACTAAGCAAAGTTAGTGTTATAGTATTTCTAACATTTTACTGCTAGACAGGAGGCTCCAATCAATGTGAGAGGGATTAGCTGTCCTTTACACGATCTTCACGTGTCTTTCAAAAACTAGTTAGGTTCTCTCAAACATCAAGGTTTCTTCACGATGTTTTCCTTCACCGTAAGACAGTGGTAACCATTTTAGTTCAGCACGTAAGGTTTACGAGCTCATGATGTCTTGAACCCCCTTCACTTGATTGTCCTAGTGGACTTTTTCAAGGGGGTTCCTGGATTATCACTGCCTACTAGGTAGGTGTACATAGTTAAAATTGATATGGAATTAATAATTATAATCGTTTTCTATAGAAAAACATTTAGTATTCTTAAGGAGCACATATTCTTGGTGGTACCTTTGTGTGGTAGTTCTAGTCTGCCATAACAAGAATAGAAAAACACTCAGCACAATCTCTGCAAAAATACTAATAGTTGATCTGTAGAAGAAGTAAGTTTACAACCCAGAGAACGACAGAGTCAATTATAATTAGTAAGAAAAAAGGTGAAACGAAGAGATTGTTGATTGATATTTGAGTACAACTGATGCTTCATGGGTTCAACCTCCCGACTGGACCAAATTTGACAATAGAACGTATTCTAATTGTTATTTGCCCTACAATACCTATAATACCTGAGAGCTGTATTTTTTTACAGAGGCAAAGACTGTCGCAGCAATCTCTACTTACTGCCTACTGGAGAAATAGTATATTTTGTCGCTGCCGTAGTGGTTTTATTCAACGTAGAGGAACAATGTCAGAGGCATTACACTGGGCACACTGACGACGTTAAATGTATTGCTATACACCCTAACAAGCTGGTTATAGCTAGTGGACAGTGTGCGGGTCATGACAGGCTGGACGCTAGGGTGAGTTATAGCATAATTTTAGTAGATTTATGGGATGGGATTTGCTTGAGAACATAGTACTTAAGGATTTAACGTTTTTGTGAAAGGTTTTTTTTATTTTTATGGCAATTCTGATATTTGAGATTTAATCATTTTAATAATTATTTTTATATTAATAATATTAATTTTTATCGTTACAATTACAGTCATAAATGTAAAGGTTCAAAACTCATTATAAAAACTAACCATAAAAATATTAGGTATCGCAGCAAGAGATACAGTGGAACGATATTAATAGGAAAACCATAATGTGGAAAATATGTTTGTTTATCTTTAGTTGTGTCTATGACGAGATAAAGTATATAGAGATATCAATGATAATAGTCTATGCATCGAAACATCAATATGCACTGTGCTTTGGCAAGAGGCAGCTATTGGATGTCGACAATGGCTGCTGATAACAAAAGTTATGTTAGTGTTGTTCATATCTACTCGTAACAGTATAAATCTGGTTTTCACACTCGTTCTCGGTACTGTTGCTCTAATCCTCTAGCAGTCGATTGAAGTCTCATTAAAATTAGTTTGACTAAGGTTATTTTTAAACATTATAAACAACATTATTTTAATTATAGATATACATATATATATATATATATTACAGATATACATATATATACATAGATGAGATATTTTTACGCAGTAAAAAGTATCCTATATTGATTCCGATAACCAGCTATCATCATACCTCATCAAAATCCCTCTAGTACTTTTCTCGTGATGCGGTCACAGTCAGACAGACAAAAATTCTTAAAACTGTACACCTCTGTATCGATAATAATGTTTATTTCAATAAGATTTTCCAAAAAATATTTAATGTTCAGATTCAACTCAGATTTTTTTTATGTGTATAGATATAATGATAAGCTTTGACGGTTAACCATTAGCGATCTAAAGCTAGTACACATTACAGCCCCACGTGCGAGTATGGAACTCCGTGTCCCTGGCGACGCTGGCGGTGTTGGGCGCGGGGCACGTGGAGCGCGCCGTGGCCTGCCTGACGTTCTCGCGCGCGGACGGCGGCGCGCTGCTCGCCTGCGTGGACGACGGGCCCGACCACACCATCTCCGTGTGGGAGTGGCAGAGACCGGATAAAGGCCACTGCTTGGCTGAGACTAAGGTGAGATACCATAGATACGATATTTAAAAAAGTAACTGTTGAGTTTCTCGCCAGCTCTTTTCAGCCGAACTGCTTTCCGAGCCGTTGGTAGATTTCTTACGGACATACATACTGGCATTTAGTTTAAATTTTGAAAATGTTAAATAATAAAAAAAGTCTATTTGAATAAAGTACATTTTGATTTGATTTAAATCCATGGAGAGTTACGAGTATGTAGCCTTTCAAAACTGGTGAAAATTTTATTTGATGTACAAAACCACAGATCTTTAAATGTGCGCTTTTTCATTCTACTTATATTCTGACATAAAAAAAGTGATTTGTGTTTGGTTATCACACTTCAAAACACAATGAATTTAAAACTAAAATGCTATAATTTTTTAATCCCCAGAGTTCAGTGGACACGGTGGTGGCGGCAGAATTTCATCCACTGGATCGAAACCAAATAGTGACTTGCGGTAAAGGACACATAGCCTTCTGGACGCTGGATGCTTCAAACGTTCTGTATAAACGTATGGGCGTGTTCGACACCAGGGACAAGCCTAAATATGTCACGTGTCTTGCCTTCAACCAGAATGGTGGGTTTGGATTTGTTGTGAGGTTTTGTTTAATATTTTAAGTGGAATTATTTTTTTGGTCATTCGAGCTTAAAGTTAATGCAATATGTGAGGTTTCTTTAAATACATATTACTTTACGTATGTGGTGATGATATATACATATGATTTGGCTCTCTCTAGATATACACATGTGGGATTTAGCGGGGATTCATTAACAATTAAAAATAATTCATTAACATAATATCTGATGATAATTTTTTGCATTTATAAGAGTAGTTTTATATATCGCAAGTGTATGCTCAGGTGACGTGATCTCCGGCTACTAACGGTAGCCTATGCTTGACACCATTCAGTATATATCCAAATTTTAATATCTAACTTGTAATATTTAAACTCGTGATATTTAATCCCGTGATATGTAAGCTCGTTATATGTAATCCCGTGATATCTGTACGCACAGGCGACGTGATCTCGGGCGACTCGAGCGGCGCGCTGACGGTGTGGGCGCGCGGCACGAGCGCGGCGGCACGGCATGTGCGCGGCGTGCACGACGGCGCCGTGTTCGCGCTGCTGGCGCGCAAGGACGGCGCCGTGCTCAGCGCCGGCGGCAAGGACGGCCGCGTCGTGCTCTTCGACGCCGACCTGCGCCCCGCCGGCCAAGAGGCCGTGGTTAGTGCACCGCGCTCTGAGAAGAACAGAGATATAACTATGATTATATTTTTATTTTTCTCTTCTTCTTTCTATTATGGCAAAGATAGATTTATTTTTTATATGATTTTTTAATTGTAAAAATTTAAAGTTTTAAACTATGAGTCAATTTTTTAATCTCTTGCGCAGGTGGCTAATTTCAATGAGATTGGCCGACGTAGTCATAATTGTTGGGGCGATATTGTTATTATCATTATTTTTTTATTGTTATTGTATTTGTATTTGAACTGTGTCTAACAATAAGTCCTCCTGACCTCCGAGAGCAGCCTACGGCCATAACCAAAAGTATATTTTATATTTGCTCGTTGTGACTATAAGCATCTCGCACCATTCCTCGTATATTGTGATAAAAGCACCCGTAAGAGTAAAAGATATATAAACTGAGTGACCGGTGTGCGCGCAGATCGAGGGCCACTACGGCGGTGTGCGCGCGCTGGCGGAGGGGCGCGGCGCGCAGCTGTTCGTGGGCACGACGCGCAACTGCGTGCTGCACGGTGACCTGCAGCTCGGCTTCGTGCCCGCCGTGCTCGGTATGTACAACGCACTACTATTTCATACTTTTTTTCTTATTTATTGGTAGGTTAACGCAGGTATTGTGATTTATAGAAAAAATGGGTATTTTTGTATGATCTGTTTTTTGAGGTGAATATTTTTAAAATTTGAATGTAACGATTTTTTGTGTCATTTTTCCCTTTTCTGTTCATTTAAAACGAATTTGTTTCTCTTTTTTTTGTGGTCGTAGATCTGTCTATCCTTTAACAATGTTTTTCGACTGTAATAAAAATGATATTGCAAAATTTTCTACTACCGCTTAGTAGTTTATTACTACCCTAATAGTTACTTTTGTAATTTCTTTACTATGTAATCTATTTTTAATTATTTATTTTCGAAATCAAAGTGGTAGTCGATAAAATTCCTCAAAGCGTAATCATAAAATCTAGTTATTTTAAATAAATTGTATATCAATAATTAGTTTTAACAAGTGACATTATAGTAGTGTATGGTGTGTGTGCGCAGGGCACGCGGACGAGGTGTGGGGGCTGGCGGCGCACCCCTCGCTGGCGCAGTTCGCGTCCGCCGGCGCCGACCGCCTGCTGCAGCTGTGGGACGGCCTCGGGCACTGCACCGTCTGGAGCAAGGACATCGAGGTGAGTACGCTCGGGCCGGCCCCACCAGCTGAGGCGTGGTCATCCGTCCACCCGTCATCGTGATGATGATTCACGTCACCATTATATTTGAAGTACAGTTATTAACTGGTTAAAATGGAACCATTGTAATTTCGTCAAGTCCATCTGTCCATAACATAAGGCTATTTTACTGGATGACTAATTTAGAGCTATATTACTGATTTTCATACATAGATGTTTCATGTGAACGACAAAATAGTTCTATAGTTAACATATAAAAAAAAAATAAAAAAGTGACACTAACATGTAACTGAGGAATGAAATATTCCTTATATAGAAATAAATTAAGGTTTTGCACAATGCTTACTTTGTATTTAAAACGGATTATCTAGGAAAGTTAAGTTGACATTTTGATAAAATAAATTGGTTATCGGACACTGATATGATAGTACATTTTATAAATTCAGTGTTTAAAATTTTTTGTCCTGTATAAGAGTTTCATAATATAATAAATAGTAAAAAGAAAACCTTGTCAGGTATCCTGTGTGTCTTGAAAAACTGACTATATAGTTCTTGAAATACATTTGAAGTCCGCCAATTCGCACTTGACCAACGTGGTAGACTGTGGTCTGATTTACTTCTGGTGAAGGCTTATGTACAACAGTGGGAAGCTAAAAAGGTTCAAATAGGAATTGCATTTACGGATGTAAGTCTAGTATTTAACATCATTTCATCTATACTCTATACAGATAAATAAAATAGAAGTGTCTGTGTGTAATGTCAAAATAACAGCGTTTTACTAAATGCATATGAAATTATATACGGTACTTATAAGAAAAACGTATATAAATTTTTGTCTGTCTTGTGTGTTTGTTCCGGATAATTTCTGAAACGGGTGGACTGATTTTGACAGGACTTTCACTGGAAGATAGATGATGTTATAAGGAGTAACTTAGGCTACTTTTGTTTTAGAAAAGAATTAGGGTTTCGCTCAAAAAAATTAAAAGTATGTGTGTATGTGTATGCAGGAGCGCGCGCAGTGCGTGGCGTGGAGCGCGGACGGCGAGGCGCTGGCCGTGGGCTGCGCGGGCGGGCGCTGGCGCGTGTACTCGCCCGCCACGCGCGACCTGCTCGCCGCCGCGCAGGACGGGTGCGGCACACACACCACACTCACTCATTCGTCCATTCACTAAAGCAGATGCGTTCTCATACACTCCCGCCGTGATAGAGCACACGAAACCAACTCGCTCTCTTCACTCTACTTTATTACTCACACACTAACATCGCTCTTACTCATACTCGCTGTTATTGACCACAAAAAACCTCACTCACCTTATTCATTCTTACTAATCGCACAAATTACTATCGATACTCTTATAAAAATTAAAGCTTTACATAAAATTGTGAATAATATTTTACATTTTACATTTAACCAATAAAACGATTTAAAACATTTATAAATAACGTCCAAACTGTGATTCTTGTTTAAAAAACGAAGTATTTTTAGAAATCACGATATTTAATCTAAAATGTTATGAATTTCAGCGAAATAAATCGTTACCATTAAAATTATATAATGCTAACAGTACATGCCACACTTATCTCATCCTTCGTCACATTAAGAATTTTTTTTATATATCAAACATACAATTTACTCATTACATTATAATAACTCTTCTATTTATACAAAATAAAACCAGTCCAACAGTCCATTAGAAATATAAATTAATATGTATTTGTGTATGTTGCAGAACGGAAACTATACAAACGATAGTGTACGCGCCCAGCGGCGAGCTGGTGGCGGTGGGCTCGCGCGACAACTTCATCTACGTGTACGAGGTGGACGGCGCGCGCTACTCGCGCCGCGGGAAGTGCCTCGTGAGTACCGCACACACTGCTCCGCATGCTCCACTTAGCCTACTGGTCCATATGCCCTGGTCCATTTATCCTACTAGTCTATATGTCCTACTGGTCCATTTGCCCTACTGGTCCACTTGTCCTACTGGTCCACTTGTCCTGCTGGTCTATTCGTCCTATTGATCCACTTGTCCTGTTGGTCTACTCCGAATGGCCCACTTGTCCTGCTGGTCCTATCTTATTGGTCCATTTGTCCTACAGTTCCATTTATGCTACTAGTCTATTTGTCCTACTGGTCTATCTGTTTTACTAGTCCACTTGTCACGATATCTAATAATTGCGTTACTTTGGGTTGACACCTGATTAACTTGAAGTTTTCGCTTTTAGAACGTTGTATTTAAATAGAGATGGAACATTTTAAATAAGTTAAGAACTAAAAAATGATTAAGCACAAAATAACTGCAAGGAAAGCGTGTTATAAATATTTTTATGAGTATCGAACCTTCAGTTATGAAGTGAAATGGTCCATTTAAAACTAAAGTAGTTTTTCATACACACCACATAACCAATAAAACATTATCATACCATTTACATACCTATTATGTCGAGCAGAGCTTTTACACTAACATAACATTATTCTGTGTTGCAAAGTTTTTGTTTATATAAAAACAAAAACATAGATAATTTAAAAAACAAAACAATTACCCTTTATCATGGCTACACTTGTCTAAATACCAAAAATTATAAAAATATGTATGTATGTTTCAATCTTTAGATGAGCTAAATTAAAAAAAAGATATATTTCTTATTTAAACTAACAATTTAAGAAAACTTAACCGACTCTAGACAATTTAAAATTCGCGCTTAACTGTCACCAGAAGCGATATATACTGCAACTATAATCGGCTAATAATCCTAAGTTTTTTGATGTCTGAAAGTAATTTGGATATATAAGACCTAAATTATTTTTTAAAATGTGTGTTTATGTGAACTCTTCATTTCACGCAAATCTAGTGCACGGAGAGAAAACGTAGACGGGTAACATTCCACTAGCTTGTAGTTAGTGCATGATGGACATACACAAATTATTATTATTATCCAATAATATATATATATATATATATATATATATATATATATATATATATATATATATATATATATATTGGCAAATATATTTAGTTTTTCCACCAAAACAATTAGGGAATGTTAGATGATATGGTTTTTATCATGCTGCTTTTCTGCTTTTCATGCTAATGAGACGACTTGAAAGCCTGATATAAATTTCTTCATATAAATGTTATAACTTTCATATGATATTTAAAAAAAACATATATACAGTTGATACAGTCTGTCTGGAACCTTTTTATTTTTAACGCAGCCATAATGAATTACATTTTTTATGTATGTATACAGATAAATTGAAGTGTCTGTATGTAATGTCAACATAACAGCTTTTTACTAAATGTATATTATGAAATCATATAGGTACTATACTTTTTTCTATTTTGTCTGCCTGACTGTTTGTTTCGGCTAATCTCCGAAATGGCTGGACCGATTTTGACGGGACTTTTACTGGCAGATAGCTGATTATAAGGAGTAACTTAGGCTACTTTTATTTTAGAAAAAGAATTAGGATTCTGCTCAAAATTAATTAAAACGTACCTAGAGACACACCCGAGCGAAGCGAGAGTAAGTCGATAGTATAGTATATGTTTTTTAATTTAATGTTTTTTTTGATTCAACTAATAATTTATTTTACAACTTAGAGTGTATGCTAGTTGAAATATTAAATATGTGTATTATAAATGTAGTGTAGCATACTGTATGCTTAGCACCAACCATACTGTATGATATAATATTTTAATCCATACTAATAATATAAATGTGAAAGTGACTGTCTGTCTGTTATCCTTTCACGCTTGATCCACTGAACCGATTTAGATAAAATTTGCTATGAAGGTAGGTTAGAGACCCTGGAAAAAACATATGATAGTTTTGATCCCGGGAATCATCCCTAAAGGGGGGGAAAAGGTGGATTTTGTATGGGGAATCAATCAATAAAATAATGGATATAAAACTCATCATTGCTATGTATATAATATAGTCTATCTATACCATATAAAGCGCCAAAACGTACCTAGGGACAAACCTGCGAGAAGCGAGTGTGAGTCTCTAGTAATAAATATTTTCCGAACAACGAAAAGATTTAAAGTACATTATCATTTTTTATAATATTAAAATTGTCTAAAAATAATTCAACGTAAGACAAAAAAATAATATAAACATTAAAATAAGAAAAGTCATCATAAAATAAATATTATAATCATATAGATATAATACTATGTATGTATATATAAATTCCAGGGTCACTCCAGCTTCATAACTCATCTGGACTGGTCTGAGGATAGCCAGTACATCCGCAGCAATTCTGGCGACTACGAGCTGCTATTCTGTGAGTTTGTTTATTGATACATAAAACAAAGATTAAGAATATATTTTAGGCTATCTTCAGTTTTAGAAAGAAAATTAGAATTCATTAATTTTTAGTGAATTTATGCAATAAACTAAAAAAATATATGTAGAAATAAAGTTTATTATGTAATATCTTCTTCTTGGAAGGTTAATATGAATAAGAATTTATTATGAATTCAATTTGATGAACAAGTAACAATTATAAATTAAAAATTTAAAAACCCCCTACGCAAATTAATTGTCATTTAACGATTACATTGGCACGCGTGAAGCACTTAATCGAGTAGTCATACGCCAAAATGCCATACATAATTTTGGAAAAAAGCTGATACACTGCTGGACCGATATTAATAACATACATACATATTATTAACATAGCTAAGAACCGCAAGGAAACTGGCTTTCAAATAAAAAAAACCGCATCGAAATCGGCCCATCCGTTTGAGAGCTACGAGGCCACAGACACACACACACAGACAGACATCGACGTCAAACACAACTCTCTCATTTTGCTTCGGGGGTTAAAAAAGTAATAGACAATATGCTATACTAATATTAAGACTATATTTGTCCATATACTTAATATTAAATATGGAAGTCTCTGGAACAGATAGATAAGAGATGTAAATACATAAGTCTCCATCTAATTTTGTGTACATTAGATACATATGTATTTGTTAATATTGGAAATTGTTATAGCGTATCGTATATAAATTATATAACAAGGCGCTGTATGCCGTAGTACAAGTCTCTTAGAACGGCAACAGAGGCTACCATATATTTTGTGTTGACATAGTTTAACTTAAATTGAGCCTAAAAAAATAATATTATTCCGTATAATAATATATATATGTTTGTTTTTGTATGTAATATTATTTAGTGTTTTATGTGTTTTTTATTGTTCAATAAATTATTATAATTATAACAACAAACTCGACATCGTACAGGGAACGCGACGACCTGCCGGCAAGTGACGTCGGCGTCGTCGCTGCGCGACGTGGCGTGGGCCACCAACAACTGCCCCATAACCTTCCACACGGTGGGCGTGTGGCCCGAGGGCGCCGACGGCACCGACATCAACTCTTGCACCAGGTAATCATTCGTGCTAAGTTTATTCTTGCAACGGGTATTATTTCTTGCAGTGGGTATTTATTCTTGTAATGAGTATTTATTCTAGCAGTAGACATTTATTCTTGTGATGAGTATTTATTCTTGCAGTAGGTATTTATTCTTGCCATGATTATTCTTTTATTGAGTAATGATTGTTATTGTTAAATTGATTCTTATTTTACGTTTTAATATAATTATAAAATTTGTATATGTTACTTGCACATAGTTTTAAGATATTTATAACAATAATTAATTTAAAAATATATTTACAAAGTTATTTATTAGTATTTGTAAAACCTAAAATATATTTTTTTTATTTTCAGATCCCCAGATAATAAATTGGTAGCGACTGGAGATGACTTCGGCAAAGTGAAATTGTACGCGTATCCTGTTACACAGCCCAAGGTATATGGAAAAAGTCATTTTTAATACTTTTTATGTCTGATTTAAGCAAATTCTATAATTAAAGTTTGTATGTTTAAACAACCATTATGGTTTTTGAGCATAAGGCTTATTATTATATTTGAATGTATGTGATTAATCACAATATAGAACATTAACTAAACTCTTTAAAACAATATTGACCAAACAGTAACAGGAAGTGTTAAAAATGTAAACAAAATCTTGTCTGAATGTCTGTATATTCTCCCGTTTACTTTATAGTTCAGAGTATAGTATTTTTCACTCATATCCATCCATTTTATTTTAGCGAAAAGGAGTAATACACACAAATATTTTTCGCATTTGTAATAGCTGTTTAGTATAATAATAGTCAAAGGTAATAATAGTTTAGTAGTGACGAGCTCGTTTAGGAAACCGAGTGAAGCGGGTTCAAATCCCGGTTCTCATACCTTTGATATTCTCATATGCGAATCATTTTCAACATGATTACTTGTCTTACGGTGAAAGAAAATACGTGAGGAAATCTGCATGTCAGAGAACCTAGCAAATTTTCCAAAGTCAGTCTCAGTCCGCCCGCACTCGGTCAGCGTGGTGGATTATGGCCTGATCCCACTCGTATTGAAGGAAAGCCCACCCCCAGCAGTGGGACGTCAATAAAGGCTGTATAGTGTATATACAATAACATACCGTGGTGTCTCCAGTCGCTGTGCGCGGCGTACGGCGGGCACTCGGCGCACGTGACGTGCGTGCGCTTCCTGCCCGACGCCGCGCGCCTGCTGTCCGCCGGCGGCAACGACGCCGCGCTCATGCAGTGGCTCGTGGACTAGCCTGGACTACGTGGACTGACGCCGCCTCCTAGACTATACCAGGGTTCGGAATCTGTTTGAAAAACAGTCAATTATGTTAATGTTATTATTAATTTCTATTATGGAACCTAAATTTGTCAAAACCATTTTTAGGATTTTAACCGGTTAAAGAACATAACCAAAACCTTTCGGTTTGGAGTCAACGACCAAAACCGGTTTAAAAATTAAACAAGTTTCCTAGCCCTGGACTATACACATAGACGTGAATTATGAATCCTTCGTTTGATTTCGTTATAGCATGTCCATTACATTCACTTCTACACCCTGATTGGTAATTGGATGGAAGGTTTTATATATGTGTATACATACAAACAGATATGAAACCTTCATTTTACTATGTAATGTCCCTTGTATTATTTTTTAATTTTGGTTGAAAAGAGATTAGTAACATTATTCGCAGCTAGCTCCTATACTATACGAATGCATAATTTTATTGTTGGCGTTATTGTGCTATTGAATTCGCCTTTACTGAATCTTTTTATAGTTACATATTATAAGAACTGTAAGCTCCTGCAAAATACACTGCTTTGAATAAAATGTTTGTGTTAAACTTTGTCAATTAGTTAAATAAAAATTTGATGTAAATTACGTGTTATTCTATTAAAATAAACGCTTTATTAAATATTGTACACGCATAATAAATTTGCAGCTAGCTCTTAGACTATATCCATACATATACATAGTATTAGACAAATGCAAATAATGGAGAAGTTTCCCATATTTTTTTGTATTAGTTATAAAATATAAGAAAAATATAACAAAAATACGGAAGAATTATTAAAATATCTCAACAAATGAAAAAGTTATAAAACTCTTAAAGTTGCGCTTGTAAGAATAATGTGACGTCACACGACCTGGACGACCGGAATTTAAGTTAATTTCTAACTCATTATTAGTTTTTATCTATATTATAATTCCATTGGGTTAAATATCATATTAACAGCATCAGGAAACTTCTCCATTTTGCAAAAACCAAACATTTTAAACTGGTTCCTCGATAATATTGTACAAACAAAAGTCGTCTCTCGGACTATATAAAATAATTAGAATAAACACAATAATATATAATGTGCATATTTTTATCTTTAATTTTATATAATTTTAACTTTTAATTATAAAAAGTAGTTATAGAAGTACATTATACTGTTTTAAGTCATGTTTTTTATCAATAACCAAATCGAAATGATGAATACAATCAATATATTAAAATAACTTAAATGATTATTATACACCTAAAGATGGATATTTTAATATATTTTTTAACTTTTAATTATTAAAACGAATCATTAAAATTAGTTTGCATCGAATAAAACAAAACAACCAGGCGAAATGAGAACCTCTATTTTAGAAGTTGGTCAGAAATCTCTATATATTTTGTTTTGTTCTATATAATTGGCGGCTTGGCCTCTGCAGGCAAGGTGAAGAAGAAATAAAACTATCATTTCAGCTTTTTTCGCGGATTTATTTTAATTTTTGTTATTGACGTTTCGAATGTTTTACAACAACCCTCTCTCCCGTGACTATGATCGGTGTAAAGCATTCGAAATATCGAGAACCAAAATGCAAAAAATATCTGTGATAAACTCCGAAAAGATTGTTTAAAATGTCAAATTATATTCGTATATCTCAGAAAGTATTATTGAAGAAATAACTTCGATCGATGTCACTATTTAATGTATTTATTATTTTACTGTAGTGCTGTCATTAATTCCGAAAACAGCCACCAGGGGAACGTTATCGCGGATACTCCAGGGGCCTGTCGCCAAATTTCGCTTGTTTTCATATTAAGCTAAGACTAATATTTTGTTGAATCTGATTTTTCAATACGATATAAATAAAATACATAAAATAATTTTATCGCTTAACTTTTATAATTTCTATATAATTATTGAAAAATTAGACTTAGTTAATTATTATTTTATGTCAGATTATGTTTAAATATAAATGTACAAATTTAGTTTCGGTACCACTGATATACAAAAACATAGGTACACACTTCTTAACTAATATCTCTTCAAAAAGTGGCGTCGACATGTGACGTTAAGTCAAACCAAAGAATAAAATTCAAAAAGCTACAGTTCCAATTGTCTAAACACAAATTCGACCTTACGCACACCACATAAAGTACCTTTTTAAACGAAAAAACGTGCCTTTTTAATTAAGTCATTCGAAAATCAATGAATAAAAGAGATTTGAAAAAAGCGCACATTTTCGAATTGTGCGCTTCTTTTTGAGGACACTTGAGACGCTAATTGTGTATCTTGAATTTTTGTATATCAATGGCTTTGGTACAAATATTTTGAAGTGGGTCAGTAGAGTACATACGTTAAGGATATATTATTGCACGATATAAGCGATTATTGCAATTTAAGGGTAAATGGTGCTTAAACATTTGTGAAGTGAGTCCCGGGTTCGAATCCGCGAGAATAAAGCTAATTATCTTTTTAATTAATTGCTTTTAAAATTAATGCTATTATATACGATCATTTATATTATAATCGAAACGTTTTTATAATAGTTTGCAAAACGCATGTCCATTTTGATTGAATTGTGCGGTTGTGATAGAAAGGTCTGAGTGTTCCGTCGCGTCGCTTTATAGCTATTTATAAAAGAAATATTTTTAATACTTTTTTACGCAACACTTATTTAATTTAGCTGATCAAATGCAATTTCGTGTTAAATTATTTGCATTGTGAGGAATCTTTTAAATCTATATTAAATTAAAACACGACTAAAGTGTTATAGAGAGATCGCACAAAAATCTCATTTTCATAACATTTTTCATTGAATTATTAACTTTATGAATGTAGCTTTTTGAAATTAAAATTAATATATTCCATGATTATATATTTTAAAAGTTTTCTCACAATAGTTAAAGCTAAGTGGGCAGCGATCCCGTAGAGTAAGTTAGCAGTAACTAGTCAGTGCCGGCGGTCGCCTGTACATATAGCCGCGGCGCGCCGGGTGTGTCCAGAATAAACAATGTTTACTGAATATTGCCGACTTTTATTTGGCTAATCCTTGTTTAATTTTACAGTAATACTTTTACTTGTTATAGCTTTTGTATATTTGAGTTGAAGAGAATCAAAATTGAAATGTTTTATTAAAATCTGCACAGCCTTTCTCGGCTGATTCGTAATAATCAGAACAAAATATCAAAAGCTATTAACTTAATATAATAAGTTTAAAATTCTTAATGACTTTCAGCTTTGATTTTCCATAAGCCGATTTAAGAAAATCTCACTTCTGTAGAAACCTTAGGCACGGTTTATAGCAGAGAGCCGTCTTTGAACGAGCAGTACACTTGTCCCCTACAAGCGTAAATTAGAGCAGATCCCGATAAGCTATCTGTGATTATTCTTACTAGAGATATATTTCATGTAACATACAACTACATACAAATTATGTCAAATTCAAACAACTAGTCTGACTAATCTACTGATATTACAAAGTTTGTGTGTTAGTTACTCTGAACTACTGAACCGATTTCGATGAAACTTTACTGGTATAGCTTATACATTAGAGTAACACAAAGTAAAATATACATAAATATGCAACTGCATGAATTTTTTATTTATAAATCTTTCACTATTAATTTATTTTTCTATTAATAAATTATTGGAAATATAATAAATATACAAATTATTATTTAATAAATTTATTTCGATAAATCCCTAAATAATAACAAAATATCATTACATAAAACTGTAATTCTATTACTCACTGTCTGCCAACCATTAAAAACAGCACTTTTTTTGTTAGATATTTGTTGATTCTAAATTTCTTTATTTATTATTTATAGAAAATAAAATAAGGTAAAGAGGAAATCTTACTTGTTTCAAGTAACTGGGCAATGGTTTAGATACCTGTACAAAAAAATGAAATAAATAAAATCAATTTTAAGCAGAATTAAGCAACACTAACATTTTATAAATATTATTCCAAATAAAGCTTTCTTAAAGCATTGCTTAAATTCAACTTTTTATTATCATCATTTTATTTTATTGTTATCATATTGTATTTCTTAATTTTGTACTTCAAACGATTTTAAATATTAAAATCTTTGCTTAGGAAGAGGTGAAGTCAAACCAATAGGTCCAATGTAACAATTTAATTAATTAAGCACTATATCAACTGCTCCACGCTGTTAGCGGACAATTCTAACAGTCTCCAAGCCGCTTTGGGGTTCAGCTCCTGCGGGTCTCTGCACAAGACCCAGACATAGTTGACTCGCATCACTTTATTTGGGTCTCCTTCTATAACATTGTTCTTACCGTCTCTGACACACATTATTTGTTGACTCTGGAATGTGATTACCAAAACTGGACCTTGATCCATCATTTTGCCCATAACAAGTTCTATATTTTCAATATCTAAGATTTTTGAGTCGAGACGGTAACCTAACTGCTTACACTGCTTCAACGGGGTCGCCAAGATATTGAAGACACCTTCGTAGCACCAGTCCTTTAGTATTTCCATGTCCCCTCTGACCATAGCTTCGAGAATATTCGGTATGATATCGTTTGCGCAATCTTCTAAGAACTTTTGTGCGGTGAAATTGGGGTCTATTTTACATATTTCTGTCAACGTTTGGGAGAGTTCAGTTTTTTCAAATAAATTTCCAAAGAGGCTGCTCACTTTGTCGGTGACAAATCTGGAGGCTCTGAACACTGGGTTTTCAGATTCCTCATATTTTATTTTCCAGTCTAACATCTGGAAACAATTATTTGACTTTTAAATAAATCTATACATATAATAGTCTGCCAACCCGCACTTGGCCAGCGTGGTCGTGGACTGTGACCCTCTGGTATTGAAGGGAGGCCCGTGCCCAGCAGTGGGACGTTAAAAGGGACTAAATACATATATACATAATATAGTAAAGTTCAAACTGAGTCAAATCTGTACTTTAAATATTTTTTGGAAAATATTATTGCAATAGTCATTATTATCAATACAGAGGCCAAATCTAGTTTTTAGAATTCTGTCTGTCTGAGAACGCATCAAGAGAAAACCACTGGACAGATTTGATGAAATTTGGTATGAAGATAGTTTAAGACTTCAGGAAGGACATAGGATAGTTTTTATCCTGCAAATCATCCCTTAAAAGGGTGGAAGTTTATATGGGGAACCAATCATTTCTCAAGTAAAGGACAGTTCTTTTTTCATTTTTTAAAATATTTACCTACTTTTCTACGAGTATACCTCTCTATATCTATAGTCTATCTATTCCATACAAAAAAAAAGTAATAAAAAATGAGTGAAAAAGTAAGAGACACACAGACAGAGTTACTTTCATTTATAATACTATATATGGCTCACCTTATTAACATACTGATTGTTGTTCTTGAAGTCCTCCCATTGCTGGTAGAACTTGGAGTCTCTGTGCAGCTCCACGCCCAGCGTCTCCGTGTCGGGCGCGTACGTGCGCTCGTCCGCCGCCACCTGATTGACATATATAATAATAATTAATCTTAGATTCAAAAATCTAATAAAAAAACGCTTTTGTCGAATTAAATGTACAGGACTCGTCAAAACGAATAATTTGAGCCCAAACTCGAAGGATTGCTGAAGAGTTCCATTATCCAAATCCTGGCTCGATCATCAGATCCCCTCCGAGACACCGAAGTTATAGTATTGACATCTAAACTACATATACATTATACATACAGTTTCATTTCGATACAAAAATATAGTTACATATTATGTACAAATAAGTTAAAATTGACTTCATACATTTGACTACTAATGTTTCATGCATTAGGTCAGTTTTAAAGCTCATTTGGATGGTCTTTAACAGGACCAAATAAACATATTAAATAGTTTGGACTCCATTCCATAGACCATTTTATTTCCATATTTTTTATAGTACATAATTTGGTGACTGTTTTTGAGCGATTTTCTATGGGTTACTCCGAGATAAATCCCGGCTGATGCGCCGCTGCGAAGAGCTTTATGTCATAGGTTAAGTAAGGATAACCTTTGCTTCGGACACCTATCAAAAACTACTTATGTTCTCTCAGGCATTCAATTCTTCATTATGTTTTCCTTCACCAATTACAATTATATTCCACACAATTGCGTGTTGTAACTCCATTTTTTTAAATTCATTAATTTGTGCATTTCGCTCAATTTTATTTTTCTACACCAATGATTTCTAATTAAGAAGATATTGTTATTCTTTATATATATGCAAATCAGTCATCATTATAAAATTACTACATAAAATATATGAATGTAATGTAATTACCTCAACCCTTTTCCGTAATGCAGTGGGTGACGTGTAGACGCGGCCTTCCAGACCCCTTGGTTCCATTTCTTTCTTAACTACCTCTGTAGCCTAGAAAATTTAAAATAAAATTAATAATCACTGGTTTTTTAATTCTAGTAACTGGTAATAAGAATTTTATAAGCTTGTATAAAAAATGTGGTGAGGTCATCCTCATGAAACAATAGGAATTCCATTAGTTTAGCAGCATCAAGTGGTCATTTACTCCTTTACCTTCTTTTTTTTTCTTTTTTTAGGACATATACACATATATGTTATATTTACTGATCTCTAAATAGGAACGTATAAATTCATAATAAAGAATGACTGTTGCACTAATGATGCCTAAGTGCGGAAAAAGCCGTGTCAGAAGAAGAAGAAGACTGTTGCACTATAAGAGATGTATCAATGTCCCAAACATTTTTTATTTAAAAACCAAGGAAATCGGATTAATTATTTGTTTATAGAGAATTTTTCATTAAAAGAAATAATTTCAATAAGAGTTTTAACAATATGTAATAATATTATAAAAAATGTATATTTTTCTTACCTGTGAAATTGTTTTGAAAGCAGAGGTTTTACCTAATGCTTGACTTTTATCAGCTAAAGACTCTGCTGCGCCTTTTGCAGTTTTTGATATGTCTTCTGTGATCTTGCCTATAATTATTATTATAAAAATTTAAATAAATATAAAATAAATATGTTCAGACATTAACAGACATCATCATCTAGTTCCATGGTAAGCTACGAGGTCTGTGTTATGGATACCAGATAGTTGATACACTACACATATATAACTTTAAATACATACATATTATAAATATGTTTATATTTATAATATGTATGTATTTACCCATGACGGGAATGACGGGAATACAAACATTTGTGACTCAAACCCGCGACCGCTGGTACAGCAAGTAGGGTCACCACAAACTGAGCCAAATGTGTAGCTTATAATCATAATCAATTCAAGCTGCTTATTATTAACCAACTTCCAAAAAGGAGGAGGTTATCAATTAGTCGGAATCTTTTTTTCCTTTTTTTTTAATGTATGTCCACTGATTACTCTAAGACGCCTGAACCGATTTGTAAAATTTGTTTTCGATTCAAAGGGTATACTTCCCAGGTAGTCCCATATAAATGTTATCGAAATCGGTAGAGGATTTTTAAAAAATCAACAATAAACATTTTTTTTTAAATAAATTGCTTAATCGAATATGTTATTAATATAAAACTTTCTTCTTACAAATTACCTGCTTATTACGTCTACACTGAAAATGGAAAAATAAAAACTTTTTAACAAAAAAATAAAAACCAACTTCTAGTCAGTTTTAATTTTTTGTTAAAAAGTTTTTATTTAATTTAATAGAATTGTATTTATCAAAGGAATGTTTCTTATGTCAACCAAATAGTTCTAGACTCTAGTCATATAGCTCTTTACCACTTGATCGATAAAAAAACTTACCAGCCTTTTTAGCTATTTCCGATTTACTAGCTTCTTCGAGCACATGTTCCATTTTGCCTTTGATACCCTCGAGGGTTTCTTTTAATACCTCAGACCCCTTTGAAGCCTCAGATTCCACAGCATGAAACTTTTTTCTGGCTGCCTGTAGTGCTTCAGAGTTCTCTAGTTTTTGAGCTTCTTCTCTGAACTTCTTAATATTATCCTTCATTTCTTTATTTTTGGCAATATCCTCTTTTATATTCTCTATTATGGAAGCAAAAAAGCCCTTTTTTGCTGAGTAAAACCGACATTCTTGCACTGAACACTGCAAACATAACAAATTTTTAAGAGATAATTTTTATACATTTTAAGGTAAAGATAAAAATAACCTTCACAATTCACACGTCAGAAGTTCAAAGAGTTAATAATTAATAATTTTTGAATGTAAAACAATTGGTTCAGGGTCTAATATAATATATAAGCAGTGGTAGCCCAGTGGCAACGCACTAGCTTGGGAAACGGAATGAAGCGGGTTCAATACCCGGGTCTCGCACCTGATATTTTCATGTGCAAATCATTTCTAACATGATTACCACTTGCCCTACGGTGAAGGAAAACATCGTGAGAAAATCTGCATGTCAGAGAGAACCTCGCAAGTTTTCGAAAGACATGTGAAGTCAACCAACCAACAACCAACCCGCACTTGGCCAGCATGGTGAACTATGGCCTAATCCCCCTCGTATTGAAGGGAGGCCCGTGCCCAGCAGTGGGACGTTAAAAAGGACTGAATACTGTTATAAAAAACAATTCATTACCTGTTCAGGTTTGATCGTAATAACAGAAGTCTTTAAATTTATTGGTAAGGCACATTTCCAGCGAGCTGGGCTGTATAGTAACTGCCGACACGAGTGCTGAAAACAATAAAACTCGTTTAAATTTTCACATAGGTCTATATAATCTTCTTTACACATAACCTCACTTGATTAGATGATGAAATATTTACCATTCTTAAATAAAATGATTAAAATTGTATTGTAATAACGTCACTATTTATTTAAATTCCCTTTTCACTTCTATATTAATATTTAACCGATATATCGGTTTTTACTTTATTAGATACATAATCATCTGGTACCCATTTTTTGATTTAATAATTTAATGTTGCCATTCTGGTTGTTCCAGGGTTCCTGTTCTGTGGTTGCCATACTAAAATAATTTGTGTTATCTTTTATTATGAAATAAATGAAAAACGTTATATTTTTCTTTTTTATTTCAATTAAACTTTAATCTATATATAATTGTTTTTTATAAGGCTATATATTATTCGAAGTTTCTAGTATTAGTGAGTATGAAAACTATTATAAAAAAATAATAGTCGATGGGTATTGTCAATTATCATAGACAATATTTACTGCTTCCTGTTTGAAAAGAATATTTCATTTGATATTTAAAATTAAATAATACGTCTTTACTACTATATAGAAAATTTATCGTAACTGGTGTGCAATTTTAAATCTAGAAATGCAATATTTTCTTTGTCAGAATTCATCTTTTTTAAAAAATGTGATATTTGTTGTTTCATGTTTAAAAAAAATCTCGCTTCCGGTGTGAAGGCAGTTCCAGAAACATAAGAAAGTGTACATTTTCATTTATTTTCTGCCGTCATTTTTAGCCACGGTATCGTGTACGAGTTTTGTGAAATTCTATTTATTTTATGTTCTTCTCGACAATAACGTTGTTGTGGTGTAGCTGATATTTTTTAGTAGTGCGTATCGAGAGTCACGACGCATCGTCATAGGGGGAAGGTATAGCGACCTAATATCGAATATCTTCAGTCCATATTTACTTATATAGATACATAGCCAGTAGTGAGTAGATACCACGTTTTCGCCAGCTGGTACGTACGTTTCGGCTTGTGAAATCTGATGAAGTAGTCAATATGTTTGTTAAATAGTAATAGCAAGTGATATCGAGGTGCTGTATAATCGGTCGTGAAGATAATATTGCATTGTGGCAGGTTGGTGTGCCCGGCTAGCGTGCTTTTCTGGTGCAGCTCCGAGGAAGGATCAACAATTCATCCCATCTGTGAGCTCTCGTCCAGTGGGGCGCTACCATTTTATATGACTTTAGCAAGATATACAGGTTAGTGGAAAATGTGTTACACCATTCTACTACTAAAATGCGTTCGTAGCTAACTTTACAGATCGTCGCGAGAGGTTATCTTAATTTGGAGAATTTTATTTTCAGTCCTTTTTGTTTTCATTGTTTTCACTGAAAATCTATCCACATAATTCATCTGTTTATAACACTACTCGTATGTTCATGAAATTAGTTTGTTAAATCAATATTTGATTTGCCTCATCCTTTAAAAATTACGTACTGATGCTTATTTCTACTCAATTTTGAGTTAATTTTTTTATTCCAGTATCCATATTTTCTGGATTCTCATTAGATGTAATTGTTTATTGGTAATTCTAATTCACAAAGCCTGAACCTATACCTATGTATATGAGTTTCTGCAGAATGACTTGCTGTTTTAAAGCAATTATGTGTAAAAATAAATACATATTGTAATAAAATACTTTAGGAAACTTTTATATAAAATATTTTTATTTTAATTAAAACAGTCAATGACACAAGATAAAAAGAGAAAAAAATTTACAATATGGTGAACAAAAAGGTAAAATATATTCCAAGAATTCAATGTATAAGTAACCTTCACTTCATACTACTTTCATAATTAATACTTTCCTGATTTGTAATTTACTACTATTTAATATTACTTCCACATATGGAGATTTGCTGTTATGTCAGTTATGTTATAAAATGTTAACATATTGTCGTATTCATCTTATTTGCTTAAGCTCTTAATCAAATCAATAGATTATCCGTTACTAGAATCAAGGATTAAAAAAAAACCTCTGACATGGCCATTGCTGAATTGTAATATTTTTCTTTAGATGTATGGGGAGTTGAACTATTCATCTTGAACAATATTACTTTTAAAATAATAAAATTTAGTTATTATAATTCAATTTTTCATTCGTACATAAAAACTACAAATGCTTTGAGTTATATATTATTTCAGTGATTATTTTTACAGTAGCACTGATAAAAGTATTTTATATTTTTGTTTCTACCCATTCATAAGAATTTGATTGTAAGTGGGAATTCACTTTTAAATTTCCTTTTTTGTTATTTTTCAATGGTCAAATGTTTATGTTATTTTTAATGGCAAAAAGTCTTTTGTGATAGACATTAACTTTAAAATTCTTTATTCTACACTCAAAAGAAAATGATAGTCAAATATTAGTCTAAAGACTTCTAACTATTTAATATTATAACATCTTCGAGATTTTTCTTCCCTTCTGTTCTTCTCTTTACTTCTTGTTCATAAGAAAATCAAGCAATTACTCATATTTAAAAAAAAAAACTAGCGACTCAACCTCGCTCTGCTTGGGTTCGTCCCTAGTTACGTTTTAACGGTTAGTATAGATTTTCGAGAGTAGAAAATAATGTAAGTACTTATATCGCGATTAAAAAATAGGGGTTTGTGGTAAAAGGGTGAAAATCTAGGTTTGTATGAATTTTTTATGTCGAATCATTAAAAAAAAAGTTGCAAATTTTTTTTATTTTGGAGTGGACCACCCTTATCACTTAGGAGTATGAAAAATAGTTTACGTCCTACTCTCAGACCTACTAAATATACACACAAAATTTCATAACAATCGGTCAAGGCGTTTTGGAGGAGTTGTGTTACAAACACTGTGACACGTGAATTTTATACATAACTAGCGGACCCTACAGACGTTGTCCTGTCTACACGTCTTTAATTTGAAAATTTCAAACTTTTTTTTATAATTTTTTTGATGAAAATTATTATTCAAATTGTGAATCTAAACCATTCCCAGATCCCCTTGAACACACACAAAAAAATTACATCAAAATCGGTCCAGTCGTTTGAGAGAAGTTCAGTGACATACACACTCACAGAAGAATTATATATATAAAGATATATTAGATTAACTTTTTATTTGTATGGAAAGAGATTTTTAAAAGTATTTTCATGCAAATAAAAAGTTATCAATACATTTTTAAAGTTGAGTAACATTTGCTTTCTAGAATCTATGCAATATCCTCGAATTATCCAAACACGATATTTTGAATCGTGAATCGTGATGCAAAACGCATTCTTCAATCCAGTGAAAGTCACGATTTGCGACAAGTTTAAATCAAATGCAGTACATTCCGACACTGATTGTTTACATTATTTTTGTCGCTTTTATCCATAAATTGATCTTACTTGAAACTAAAAGAACATATTTGTATGAAATTAATACCATAACAAGATTTTCAGTAGATATTATATAGGCCATTCGATCATTTAATACGACGAACTTTGTCATCATGCTCAAAACATGACAAGTGCGATTTTTCTTTCATTTTCATCTAGTGATGTGGCGATAATGGATTTTTGCTTTAATATTAATATCTACGGTTACGGGGATAAATATATTTAGATACATATAAATTATCACATCTATCCTACACTAGGGTTTTTAAGTGCATTGTAACAAACATTTAAACACACTGTGGTTTTCATAATATAATAGCGACTCGCCCATCGTTTTTCTTCGGGTTCGATCCTAGACAAAAACAAATTTATCCCACGGGAACCATACATTTTTCCGAGATAAAAAGTAACCTATGTGGTATACCAGACTATAATCTATCTCTATGTCAAATTTCATCCAGATCCGTTCAGCCGTTCTGGTGTGAAATAGTAACAAACATCCATCCATCTATCCTTACAAACTTTCACATTTATAATATTAGCTCTGTAGTCGGAACTCATTGTACACAAACTTTTCTATTTAGGCAGTCAAAATAGAACCCATTGTTGACAGTTATTTGATAGCGGTTCCTGTATCGCGTGTTTCCTGTCAGTATTTTGGCCTATTTTTCTGTACAAATGATCCTTGTTCCAGCGGACACGGTACGCTTAACGCATTGTTGGAAAAATGCTGATCATTGCTAGGTATTACTTTTAGAGCCGAGCCCAGGCTGGCACGTGTATGTACGTATTTATTATTTACTCATGTTTTGCCTATAATATTGTATATTGGAAAAAGAAATTGCTGAAATTTAGTTTGTGCTCTCAGTCCTTACAGGAAAATCGAGAACTTAAAAATCTAAAGCCACCAGCGAAATTGAAAGACTAGGACCAATTTTTATATCTACATAAATAACTACCTGACTGGACAGATGTTGCCCCAACAATAAAGTTTGTTATCATATAAAATTCTGTATATGGGGCATTCTGCGCCAAATCTTATGGTCTAAATTTTTTTTTTATTTTCTTAATATTTTGGTATTTTTAGTACCCCCAAAGGAGGCTTCCTGGCAATTTTTGAGATTTATTGATCACTGTTTCAAAAGCGCCCTTTTTTGATTTTTTGCTCATAACTTTCTTAATCAGTCGAAATGCAACTATTTTTTTTAATTTTTTCCTTTTGGTTGACCTTTGCAGAAAAAAAAATATAAAAAAATATTTAAAATGTTATTAATCTAGATTTTTGGATTTTAAGTTTTCAATCGTGTTTTTAAAACTGTGTGTATGTATCCTTTGGTTTTTTTTGAAAATTTTCTATTTTAAACTATCCATCGTGACACTTTTAAGCTCGGTCCGGTAGTGGGTGTTCTATAGTTTTTTTTTTTTCGAATTTTAATAATAAAAAAGGCTGGCTGTCTTTGATGCGCTTACCAACGAACAACATTTGAATTTAATTTATATCTACGATATACTGTGCCTACTGATATTTTCACACATTTCGTCAAAATAGAATCTCCATTTGCTCCAAACTGTCATATTATGTTTTCCGAATTGTCTTGATCGAATCCTATCTTCCAGAAAATATAGCATTAGATCCATCTGTCCCTCAACGATATTGAAGGACTTGTTGAGGAACTAACAAATCGAGTACCTAGTATATTTAATTATTTTTTGTTTGCCCAAAGTCTACTTTAAAATTAGCATGTTTTATATGCTCTATGTAATAGCGACTATTTACTATACATTGTAATTCTTCTCATGTATTCGTCGTGGCTATGAGAACGAGCTCTGAGGAATTTTCTGTTCACGTAATGTTTTGTTGCGTTTTAAGTGCTTAAAAAAAGAAGTTTCATCGCTGGACTCGGAACTAAAACGCTGTACAATTTGTAGTAGAAATGGGTACTTAAAGGTTTTACGATTTAAACTATCCCTTTGGGATTGGCAGGTTGGCTTCTTCCAATGGTAAAAGATGGCAATATCGCTATTTATAAATGAGAAATGCTCAAAGGAATCACGAGAATCTATCATTACATTTTTTAATAATTAATATTCTCGGAATTTACTATGAGCCTTTGTTTTTTATTTTTTAGATTATATCTTTGACAAATATTTGGGTTTCAATAGGGTTTGTTTTAATACACCTGTGTACATAAGTAGCAGTACATATAAAATACTAGCTGTAGGGAACCCGCCGCTCCGTCCGCGTTCAAACTTTCGATCGCTACTAAACTCCACAGGATCACTGCTGAGCTAATTTAAAGATTGCCTGAAAATTTCATCAAAATCGCTCCATCCGTATTAGAGTCTATAGGAAACATACATACATACACACATCGATTTTTATATATTAAATATGAGGCGAATAAATATGAAATAATAACGAAAGTCTTAAGATGAACATCTGGGGGCACGTCTGCGCTTAATATGACCATTCTTTATTTAGACGAAACACAAACATAAATTAGGTCCGTTGATAACAAGATGTAAATTTAAATATTTTAGGTATTATCAAACTAAGTAACTAACTTGCAGTGATGTGGGCTGGGGGATGTGTATTTTTTAATTCAGCTCGCAGTACGTTCTATCAGCTCTCTGTTAATGGAAGACGTACGCCATCCAGATAGCCGTGTTTAATTATACAAGTCGTTAAAGCTAAAATAGAAAAATACAAGAAAAAGGATGAAAGTTTGCTCAATTATTGACCATCACCGCTAACACGTGTACCATCATCCATGTACCTATATATACAAATTAATCGGTGTTTTTCTAGTCGACGTTTAATTGTTTTGATTACATTTGCGGAAGCAAA